ACTGTCTCCCGACGCTCCTTTCTTAAAGTTTTTCAAAAGGTAAAACAAGTGCCTTAAAACTTTTCCTCAGGACATTGTCTTTGGCTTGAAGCCCTCATGCTACATGTGAAATATACTTCTCTGCAGTGTCACTTCCTGGGTTCTGCCTTTTCCTAATACTGTGTCACTCTCAATCTGTCAGCTCAGGCCTTCCCTCCCGCTGATGAAAGCACACTGCTCCTGTCCTCTCCTGGCAAGGCTGAGTCCTCAGTATAGGTGTCCCCCACTTCACACACAGACATGTCCACGTCCCTATGCCTGTGTCCTCACACCTCCCAGTGGGGTCCAGGTAAGCCCTAATTTGTAACCTTCATCTTTGGATGTTCTGCCTTCTGCTTCTGTTGGGGGCACCCTCCTCTGCCACCCTGGTCTCTCTCCTTGTCTCTAACCCTCTGCTCCATCTTCTAGAGCAAGACCTTGACCTCTGCCCCCATTCTTGCTTGCAGGTACTCCAGGAAGACTAATGTATAGCCCCACTCACAAGATTTTTGTTGCCTTCTGGCAAACTTTTCACTGGGTTCTTGAAAATTATGTATTTGCAAAAAGTAAGGAGTACGGTATTCACAATAGCCAAAAGATGGAAACAACCCCAATGTCTATTGGCAGATGGATGGATAAACAGACCACTCTATCCATACACTGGAATGTTATTGAGCCTTAAAAAAGGAGTGAAATTCTGACACATGCTACAACATGGATGAGCCTTGAGGACATTATGTTCAGTGAAATAAGCCAGTGACGAAAAGACAAATTCTGTATAATTCCACTTATATGAGGCCCCTAGCGTAGACAAATTCACAGAGACAGAGAAGTAGAAGGGTGGGCGCCAGGGGCTGGGGGAGGGGGCTGGGGATTCATTGTTTCTTGGGGACAGACTTTCAGTTTGGAAAAATGAAAAGTGTTCTGGAGATGGGATAGTGGTGATGGCTGCACAATATTGTGAATGTACTTAATGCCACTAAACTGTACATGTAAAAGTGGTTAAAATGGTAAATTTTATTTATGTATATTTTATCATAATAAAATTTTTTTTAAAAAGCCAATGTAAAAAGAAAAAGTAAGGAGCAGCATGAAGGGCCATGGAAGAAGGGGGTGCCTCTGCTTTGGGGTGCCTGTCTCTAGGACCCCAATTTTATTCATAAACATTCTCCTTTGAAGAAATTCTTTTGCTTCTCCAGGACGTTCTCTACTGTGACCACAGTGTAAGCAAGTCCAGGGCAGTAGGACCTCTCCTCCCTCACATCCCTGTGGCCTCTTCGCTCATTCAGGTAGGAGCTGATGGGAGGAGATTTCAGGATGCTGTTTCATTTGACACATCATTCGTCTTCCTTTTGTATGACACTTTCCAGAAAACAAAATGCTTTCACATGCACGTATTCACTTCACCAGTCATGGGAGGTAAGCAGGGCAGGTCTTCCCATTTCCATGGAAGAAACCGTCTTGGAGAATTTAAATGACACATCCAGATCTCGGGACTGGAGAGTGACAGAGCTGGACACAAAGCTTTCCCTTGGTCTTAGCCTGGTACAAAGCCTATTCCTCTGTTTGTTGATAGAGCTGCCTCTGATCCAACTAACCGCAAGTCACCCTCAGGACCAAGGTACGGTCTTGGGGTTCCTCCAGCTGGATCTGCCCTCATCTAGCCCTGGACGAGTGACATTTGGAGAGGTTTGCCTCACACTTCTGTTTCACTGGTAATTCAAAAATCGTGACTGTGACCGTAATGGCCACTTTTGTATTTTGGCAGGTGACAGCTGCTTTAAAGAGATGTATTGGAATTATGCAAAAATATATTACAACAGAATGGGAGAAAATATTTGCAAGTCATATATCTGATAAGGAGTTGATTCCAGAATATCTAAAGGACTCTTACAACTCAACAATAAAAAGACAACTTAATTTAAAAGGGCAGAGGTTTTGAATAGCTGTTTCTCTACAGAAGATACACAAATGGCCAAGAAACGCATGAAAAGATGCTCAATATGGTTGGCCATCAGGGAAATGCAAATCAAAACTACAATGAGATACTACTTCATATCCACTAGCATGGCCATAATAAAAAAGACAGACAATAACAAGTGTTGGTGAGGATGTGGAGACCTGGAACGCTCACATACTGCTGGGGAGGATGTAAAATGGTGCAGCCCTTGTGGAAAACATACCAAATGGTTAAACACAGAGTTACCATCTACTGATACATGCTACAACATGGATGGACCAGGAAGACATTGTGCTGACTGAAGGGGGGTGCGCTCAAGGGGGTGCAGGCACGGGGAATGACTGCTAATGATGATGAGATTTCTTTTTAGGCTGTTGAAAATGTTCTAAAATTAATTTGCAGTGATGGTTGCACAATTCTGTGAATATACTATGATAACTGTACACGTTAAGTGGATGAATTTTATGGTATGTGAAATATATCTCAATAAGGCTGAAAAAAATAGCATTTTGTTTTAGAAACATCTTGGGGAAATTTCAACTCTATTGGATGGTATTCGGCAGTTGTTAATTTTGTTGGGAGTGATAATGGTATTATGGGGGAGGTTTCACAAATCCTTACCTGCTGTAGATGGAAATGCTTTTTGGAGAAATCTGTGAGATCCAGATTCCCCACCTATGCACAGATGCTTCCCCTCTCCCTGTCTCCCTGGGGGTAATTCAGGGACCACATAACATGAGCAGGAGTCATCCCACCCCAAGAAGGGTAAGTACAGGGCAAATCCAGAGAGGATGGTGAATCTTACAGGCTGCTCCATGGGTGAGGGCTGCACACAAGAGGAGAAAGACGATCTTCTTTATATGGGGTAGCTGATTGCAAGCCAGCAGGTCAGTGTTTTGTGCTGAGGCTCTCTGGTGGAACCATGCATGGGCAAGGGGGATGGGAGAACCCTACATCTGAAGAACTGAGTACAGACCTGCAAATGCGGCTGAGCGCCCAGGGCCTTCAGACCCTCCTCGCCTGGAGCTGGGCCTTATCTGCCAAAGGAAAACTGGGCTGGGGGAGGTGAGGCAGCAGCTCAGGCTTGAAAACCTTCTGGGAATGAGTGATCTTCAGACTAGTGATTTTGTCACAGTCATTCAAGGTCCGCAGTTGAACAGGAACTCAAAGACACGAAGATTTGGCACTTACTGATTTTGTAATCAGGAGAGAGAAAATATACACATACAGGTTCTTCAAAACATACCATGCAAACAAAGCTCTTATTTAAGGAAGAGTTCCTGTCCCAACTGTTATAAATAAGAAAAGTGGAAATCTACGTTTCTTCCCTATTAAGAGAGATCTTCTTTGACCAACCAAGTTGACTCAATAGATGGGTGAGGTTGGCTGAATCATGGCCCCCAAACATGTCCACATCCTAAGCCCTGGAACCCGTGGATGTTATCTTATACGGATTTTGCTGATGTGTCTAAGTTACGGCACTTGAGATGGGAAGACTATCTTTGATTATCTGGGTGGGCCCAATACAATCATAACAGTCCTCATAAGAGGGAGGCTGGAGGGTCAGAGTCGGAGGAGAAAGTGACATGATGACAGAGATTGGAGGGATGTACTTTGAAGATGGAGGAAGGGGCCACAAGCCAAGGAATCCAAGTGGCTATTAGAAGCTAAAAAAGGCAAGGAAACAGATTCACCCATGACAGCCTCTGGAAGGAACCAGCCCTGCTGACACCCTGATTTTGGCTCAATGAAACTAATTTCGGACTTCTGACCTCTGGAACTATAAGATGTCTGTGTTGTTTTTAAGCCACTAAGTTTATGGTCATCTGTACTGCAGTGACAGGAAACTAGTACAGACATAAATATCATTAGGGAAGTTATTAAGAAATAACAGTGAAATTGGCCTAGAAAAAGGAGCTGGGGTGAGGTGGGAAAAGAATGAGGAATCAAGAGGCCCCAACTGGTGAGAGGCAGGGGACAGGAATGAGGTAAGGAGCAGGCCTAATAATGAAGATAAACTCTTCTAATATCTAACACAGTTGCTGGGAAGGGGACCGTGGATTAGAGTCTAAAGGGCCACCACTGGGCTTCCATTAAGTCTCTCTGCCCCAGAGACAAGAGGCTTTGTCCACTGCATTCAACAGGTTGTCACCAGGGTCTCTGATTCAGGCAGAAATAGGCCCTGAGGGGAAAGCAGGGGCCCTCAACTCTTCAATCACTGAACACCTCTTTCTCTTGGCTGGGCATGGGTTAAATCCAAAAGCTAAACTGATGGAAAAACAAGGTTCTTATCCTTAAAGAGCTTTTATCGTGTACAGCACATTTCCCCAACCTTGGCACTATTGACACTTTGGACCAGATAACTCTGTTGTGGGGGCCATCCTGTGCACTGTAGGACATTTAGATGCATCTCTGCTTTCCACCCCACTAGAGGCCAGGAGCTACCCTCCCTTCCCCCAAGTCATAACAACCAACAATGTTTTCAGACATTGCCAAATGTCCTCTGGGGGCAAATGTGCTCTCAGGTTGAGCATTACTAACGTGTGGGCTGGAGCAGGAAGTGACACATGAGTAAGTCTGTCTGCCTAGAACTTGTCAGAGGTTTTGCAGAGCAGGCAACTCTTGTGAGACGGGACAGGGAGGGAGGAGTGGGGGCTGGCAGGTCCTCAGGGCAAAGGGAACAGTATATGCAAAAACCCAGAAATGTGTGTGTGTGTGTGTTGGGGGGGGTGTTGCACGCACACACGCACTTGTCCCTCCGCAGTAAGGAACATGAGATTCTTGGGGAGGGTGGCAGGAGAACAGCACAGGCCACAGCCCTGAGGTGACTGGCAGTGATGTGAGGATATCGATGCTTTAGGAAGGGCACCCATCTACCAAAACTTTTCTCTAAACTGAGAGATCAGCTGGCTTGTCCAGGGTGACTAAAAATTGTGTACCGATTGGGTTTTAATGTCCATTTTGAGAGAATGAAGGAGTGGAATTAGATGATCTCTCAGGCCTAACATTTTATATAAATGTATTTTGTCATTTTTAGAAACTTTATTGAGGTATAATTTACATATCATAAAATTAACACATTTCAATGGTTTTAGTAAATGTACTGAAATAATCCAGTTTTAGAACATTTTCATCACTCCATTTTGTTATTCTTAAAGCTACTGGCCTAAGGGAGAAAGCAGAGAGTAAAGATTCCCTTTGACATCTTAGGAGTCTATATCCACTCCTTGCTTCTTGTAGCTTTTCCCTATTGCTTGGGAGCAGCTGTGTACATTTTCTTTTCCTAAATCAAAGCTGCTTTGATACAAAAAAGACCCCTCAATATATGTGTGTTTGTTTGTTTATTTTGATAAAAGCACTAATTACTTGGAAACCCTCTCCTCACACAAACATGTTCATACTCTCACTTCATGTATCCTTTGTTAGGAACAGCCAGGAATCATGGGAAGAATATCAGGGGATTTATATTCCAACGAAATCTGCCCTGAAATTCTTGTGGATCACTCATCTTTATTAAAGAAGTGTGCATGTGATAAAGATTGTCTAGTATGACAGCAAATGCATAACTGTAGAATTTACCCTTGAACATATTTAGAGGATAAATAAAGCAGCAGAGAGAAGATTTAACATCAAGGGGGGCACCTGCAGAATCATCCTGATTCTCCCTCAGTAGTTCCTCCCCGCTCTCCATCTGAGACTCTGGTTCTCTTTGACCCAACACCCAGACCTGGATCTCTTCGCCCTATCACTGTGTATGGTCATGTCCCGAGTCAGCTTCTTCTGGGACACCTCACGAGCCAAATGTGCACCATCATTCCTCAGGGACCTCTTGCTTTCCTTGTAAGTCACGCAGTGTTTGTGATTTACATGCAAGTAGGGGAAGAGAAATACAAATGCCTTCCTTCTCAACAGAAAGCATGAAGCCCTGCTTTCAGTCCCCATGGTGGAGTCTGTGATGCTGGTGAAGGTTTGAGCTCTGGCGAAAGCTTTTCCCACACTGGCCGCACTGGTATGGCTTCTCTCCGGTGTGGATCCTCTGGTGCAGTTTCAGGGTTGACTGCCGCCCAAAGCAGTTTCCACATTCTCCGCACGTGTAGGGTCTCTCTCCAGTGTGGACTCGCTTGTGTCTTTTCAGCTCTGAATTCCATGTGAAGCTTTTCCCACAGTCATCACATTTGTAAGGTTTCCTTACTGAGCGGGTCAGCTGGTGGCCAAGGCGCTGCACGTGACTACTCAGGCTTCTTTTACTTCCTTTGCCTTTCCTCAGCTCTCTCAGCGTGTGGCTCTTTAGGGGGCTACTGATGTATTCCAGTTCCCTGCAATGTCTCTGGTAGTGAGCAAATGGCTTTTGAGCATTTGGGGGGCTGACCTGCCTCCGTGACAAGCGGGATTCACTCATATTCGCCCCTCTCGGTTCAGGACTCTGTAGACCATTCCCTTTGGATCTGCCAGCTGACAATGCACATGGCTTTGCTCCTTTAGCCCCCTCCTGTTGCGGATTTTCCTTGTTGTCACTTTTCATTCTGGGGGCCTCTATAATTAGAAAGAATATGTTTCATTTTCTGGGCTTCGAAGAATGAACCTCAACAAAAGAGTTACAAAATATACTGCAAGGTTTCTCAAAGTGTGGTCCTCCACTGGCAACTTGTGTTAGACTTATCTGGGGCACTCGTTAAACAAGAAGGCTGCCTCACATTCCCAAGGCTACTGAGTCAGAATCTCTGGAGGTGGGACCTGGAAATCTGCAGTTAACAGGCTCCTGGGGTGATTCTGATTTATATGAAAGTTAGGAACCAAGTTCTCCAACCTCCTTTAGGGAAAGGTTTAGGAAAGGAGAAATAGGGAAAAGCAAACCCATCAGTATCAACTGATGTATCAGCTAAGGAATGAAAAGAAGGAAGAGAGTTGAAATTTCAACACTGTAAATATATTCTCACCTACATGAACACTGAATGACCACCACTGTCTCTTCAAATAATGGTAAATCCAGTGAACGTGCCATTTTCTTTCATTACAAAGTTGATGGCATTTGTGTTTGGAAACTGGAATATGGGCTAGATATGTATCCTAATTACAGAAACTCCTCAACTTCTGACCACCAGGAGTGAGGATGAAGATGGAAATGAGTTGGAATGACCTGTGAGCAAGTCAGATGATCTAGAGCTGTGCTATCCCATAGGATTCCTATGTGTGTGTGTGCGTTATTCAATATGGCAGCCACTAGCCACATATGGCTACTGAGTACCTGAAATGTGGCTAGTGTGACTGAGAAACTGAATTTTAAATTTTATTTAATTTTCATTAACTTAAATTCAGACTTAAACATGCAGCCCATACAATTATGGTCAACTGCTTTTCAACAAGATTGTCAAAACAATTCAATGGGGAAAGAATAGTCTCTTCAATAAATAGTGCTGGGACAACTGGATTTCCACATGCAAAAGAATGAGGGTGGACCCCTATCTCACAACATATACAAAAATTAACTCAAAATGGATCAATGACCTAAATGTAAGAGCTAAACCAATCCCTCTTTGAACAAAATATAGGTGCAAATCTCTGTGATTTTAGATTAGGTAATGGTATTTTAGATGTCACCAAAAACACAAGGTAACATAGAAAAAATAGATAAATTGTACTCCATCAAAATCAAAAACATTTGTGCTTCAAAGGATACTATTAAGAAAGTGAAAAGACAACCCACAGAATGGGAGAACATATTTACAAATTATATATAAGGGTCTTGTATCCAGAATATATAAAGAACTCTTATAAAAACAATAAAAACCTAACCCAATTAAAAAATGAGCAAAGGATATGAATAGACATTTCTCCAAAGATGATGTACAACTGGCCATTAAGTACATGGAAAGATGTTCAAGATCATTAGTCATTAGGCAAATAACTCAAAACCTCCATGAGATACCACATCACATCTAATAGGACGGCTGTAATCACAAAGACCAACAATACTAAATGTAAGCAAGGATGTGGAGAAATTGGAATCCTCATAGATGTTGGTGGGAATGTAAAACGGCACAGCCACTCTGAAAAACAGTCTGACACTTCCTCAAAAGGTTAAACATAGAGTTACCATGTGACCCAGCAATTCCACTCCTAGGTACATACCCAAGAGAAATGAAAACTTATGTCCACACAAAACTTGTACACAATGTTTGTAGCAGCATTATTCATGATAACCAAAAGTAGAAACAACCCAAACGTCCATCAACTGATGAATAAACAAAATGTCCATATAATGGAATATTATTCAGCCACAAAAAGAAATGAAGTATTGACACATGGTACAACAGGATGAACCTTGAAAACATTATGCTAAGTGAAAGCCAGACACAAAAGATCACATATTGTATGATTCTGGACAATGGAATGCCCAGAATAGGCAAATCCAGAGACAGAAAGTAGACAGTGGATGCCAGGGCTGGAGAGAGGGGGATGGAGTGTGACTGCTAATGGGTATGGGTTTCTTTTTGAGGTTATGAAAATATTCAGGAATTAGAGAGTGGTGATGGTTGCACAAGTGTGTGAATATACTAAAAACCGCTTAACTGTACACTTTAAAAGGGTGAATTTATAATGTGTGAATTATATCTCAATAAATAAAATTTAAACAGCCACATGTGGCCAGTGATGACTGCATTGGACAGTGCAGCTCTGAAGGAAGGCACTGTTGGAGCTTAGGGACGAGGAGCATGAGAATCTACCCTCTCGGGAATCAAAAGAAAGGAGATGGGGACTGCATACAACCCAGCTGCTGCTGAGGCAGGAGAAGGGAGTGTGTGTGGTCCGCTTTCTTCAGGACCATGAAGGCCATAGGTTACGGGGCACGACCTCAGCCAGGGACATAATGCTTTTCTACTGGACGCTCCAGGTCTTCTCTATTTCTGAGTTCTGAGAATAATCAAACCAAAGTGTTTCATTGAATGTAGCAAATCTTAAGGAATCAAGGCTCTCGTCTTCTTGTAACCCTCTTCTCTAACCTGCTGGCTGTATTCTGCTCTCGCATCTCCAAGACTGGCCACAGTGTTACTGTCATTCAGTCTTACAGACCACAGGACCGTGTAGAGCAGGGCCAGCAATTATACTGACACCAAGCCAGAGACAGACAGGGAAATGGACAAAAGGGTTTAAAGCAGACAGTGGCACAGGAGGAGGAAGAGGCAGAAAATAATATGGAGTGGGGCTTTTTCTCAATGAGCAGATTCTTGAGCCCCTTCTAAAATAGGAGCATTTTAAGTGATGAAACTCAGCCACAGCTCGCATGGCAGTTCATCAGTGGTCAAATACGGATCTGTTTTCACTCTAAGAAGCTCTGAAAGGGACAGAAAAGTAGGCAAAAAAAAAAAAAGTTGTGCACTGGATTGTCAAATAGTCATTAAGATAAAATGATAAAAACATATTTCTCACGTATTGTATCGCTACCATTCAAATTAGTGAAATTTGTTAGGCAACAAAGATCTACTATTACATTCAGCGTTCCAAAAAACCTAACATCTGGTCTATGGCTTTTCAGAACCAGAAGATGCTGTGATGGAGAAAACAGACTGATGAGAAGGAGAGAAGAGGCACAGAGTGTTTACCTGTTCCAGCCAATTTGGGGGTTGGTTCCTGGAGGAGTGGGGATTTTTCCCAGTGATCGGGGCTCAGGGGCTCCTGAGATCCTGCCTGGGAAGGCTCCTCCAGAGAGCTCTCCCTGGGATACCTCCGAGGAGTTTGCAGTTGAAAGTCTGGCAGTTCCTGTTCTCCAAGTTGAGATCCAGTTTTTTCCAAGAGTATCTTCTGGCCCTGCATACAAACGGCCACCTAGGAACAAGCCCCATGCATTAGAGAATAGCCTGAGGAATGACTGAGCGCAGCTTGACCTCTCACTGCTCTGTAATGACCCCTTTACCCTGGGAATTCTTGATAATGGCCTGGAGGTCAACTTTGATAGAGACCACCGAAACTCTCAAAAGAAGCAGAGAAGGACATACAGAATGACCAGAATGGGCCTGCTTCAAATCAGCCGATACTTCCTGAGTAGATGCCCCTAAAGCTTGGGCCTTTCTCAAGGCCTGGAGTCAAAGTCATCAGAGAGCAGGCACAAATATCAGGGTCGGTTATGACACTGGCCCAGCAGATTCCCAACCTCTGCCCACCGCCTCCCTACTTCTGCTGGAAACAGGCCCTGTAGGACTGGGAAGCACTATGGTGGGGGCTGTTAAAAACCACCCTTATCTAATCGTTCTGCCCAAGACTCTCCTGGTAAGAAAATTCCAGTAACAGTAAGGCTCTAAGCGGACTGTCCCACCCCTGTTCCCTAATTGCTTCTGTTTCCCAAAGCACATGGCTGTTTGCTTCCTGTCTAGGCCCCAAGTGGAGTCTGACTTGGGGGTGGGGATTGGAAGGAATACTGGCCAACTGAGGTGTGACTTCCCAATCCAGAGGCAATATGCAAGATGCTTCACTGGAACAAGGTCCAATGAAGTACCCCTCAAACCAAATTCCTACCCAGCAGGATGACCCTGTCTGCTAAGAATCCTGAATGCAGAAAAACTTCCTGAGGAATGGGTCGGGGGGACCTATCAGCAAAGATTCAAGAACCTTACTTGATCCTCTACTTCTTCACTGGAGCGCCAGTGGCTGAGTTTTCTAAAAGCCTGTTACATTTCCGGCGGGGGGGGGGGGGGGGGGGGGGTCCCAAATAGAGGCTAGAATCAACGTTTGAAGCCATCTGGTCCGTTTCTGGACTCTGTCTAACTAGGGAGGGATCCAGAGACCAAACACTATCTAGATGAAAAAAAAATCCTGGGGACCATGAGAAAGGACTTGCCTTACCCACTGCTTTGGTCTCTTGGCTGCTCTGTGAAAATCTTCCACCAAGGTCACCATCTCCTTGCTGCTCATTGGACATCGATGCCTGACCCGAGCCTGGATCTCCGGCGGCAGGATGTTCAGAAACTGCTCCAGCACCAGTAGCTCCAAAATCTGCTCCTTGGTGTGCACCTCGGGCTGCAGCCACTGACGGCAGAGCTGTCGGAGCCGGGAGAGTGCCTCTTGGGGTCCAGACACTTCTTGATAACAAAACCGTCTAAAGGTCTGGCGTGACAGCTCAGGATCAGGGGAGTCTTTCTGCAGAGCAGGTCCCCGTTTCTCTTCTAGCTTTGTTATTATGTGTCTCTCTTGCTTGGAGGAAGCCTGAATGTGGGACTGCGAGCTCAAAGTTATCTCCATCTTAGCTGCCATTTTGGGGCTCGGGAGACAGCTTCTCTTTCTTTGTAAACAGCTCAAGCCTTGGGGATCATGGCCCTGGAAAATGCTAGAAGGATGCTAGAAATGAAGCTCCTCTGAGGATGCTGGGAGGACAGGATGCAGACAGGGCCTTCTCATTCGCTAGCCCTGACCCCAAACTCCTGAAGACAACACAATTCCTGGGAGTGGAAAGAGTTTGTCTTTCCGCCAGTTTCCTGAACTGCCTTGCAAAGGAGAAAAGTCATAACGTTCTAAAAGGAAACTGGGGAAAATACTGCTTCTATTTCAGCGATAAGCACACAAGGTCTCAGAGGAAATGCGCAATACGACCTAACAGGCTGCCAGGAACCACTAGGAGAAGTTCCAGTTGTCATACAGGTTGCCCGCACCAACTCTCCCGCATCTTGCTTAGACCAACCTGGAGCATCTTGCCAGGAGCTATAGGGTGGGCCTAGGCGGGCCACGGCGACGCCGGGGGGTGAGAGTTAGCGAAAGCCTCCTGCTTGCGAGCAAGGTAGACCGAGGCTCGGCAGGCCCAGCCGCTCCGGCCTCCGAGGGCGCCCCGCTCCGGCTCCGCGCCCCAGCTGGCCGGGGCTTGGAGAAGCTGCGGCACTTGGGCGGGCAGCACAACTTCGTGGCCAGGTGCGAGACCCGGCGGACACCTACGACGGTAGCGTCGCCTACTGCCCTGCACCCGATGCCCACCTGCAGCGCACTCACCTCTCTTGGGACCGAGACCCGGAACCCAGGAGCCGGGGCTGGGGGCGGGGCCGAAGCCGCTCGTGGCGGACACTCCCACTGGCTGCCTAGGAATTACGCCGCGGGAGGGCCCGCCTCCTCCACAGAGGGATTGGCTCCTCAAGAGCGTTCTCTTTCGTCTATTGGCTGCTGACTCTGTCGATGCTGGCGAAGAACCGCGCCAGCCGTCGTAGTGCAGCCCGGGAGTTGTAGTTCGGTGGACGCCTTGCGAGCATGCGCAGTAGGCGGGCTAGCGCCGGGGCTTGCGGCGCTAACTTCCGCCCCGGTGGCTGAGCGAGTTTGGGCGGAGTCGAGGGCGTGCGCCTTCGGTAAGTGCTCTGCTTCCTCGAGGCCGGACCCCACGCCGGCCTGGGAGCCCTTTGCCGCTGAGAGTCTTTTCAGGGCGGTTGGGCAAGGGCCGGGAGCCCCTCTCACGCTCCACGGTCACCTTCCTGCGGCGCGGCCCCTAGTCCCGGTGACCCCGGCCCACTGAAGACCGCCAGGCAGGGTCCCGATCCCTGTGTCCGAGCCCGGACTCCCTCTGGCCTGTGACCCTGCTTGTCTCATCCCTGTGTCGCTGCAGCGGGAGCGTGCGCACTTGTTTCCCTCTCCGCTTCAGCCACAGTACCTAACCCTAGCACTGAGTGCACTGGGAGTACTCAGTGCATCCTTGCGGAGTGAAAAGTCAGTCAGCCCCACTCCCATTCTCATCCTGCTTTCCGCTGAGTGTTTGGATCAACGCCGGAGAGAAACACATTTCTGAGAGACCAGCATTTAAAAATTAACTATGAATGGGATCTTAGGGATCAAGAGGAGTGCAGGCTCCGCCTTCTGCATAAAAATAGAATAGCATTAAATTCTTCATCCAGGTAAGGTGCAGGATGTAGGAAAATGTGTAAGGCAAGGGGACAGGTTCTAATCCTGGCCTTGGTGCTGAGGAGCTAGCTCTGACGTGCTTTTCTGTTAAAAAGGACTGCTAACAGTCATGCCTTTCATCTCTATCTCTAGCTCCTCCAGCCATTGAAATGTAAAAAGAATGTAAGTGACGACGGTTCAGGTGCTTTGGAAGAAAGGAAACCTGAATCCATTTTGTAAAAAAATAATTGTTTTACTCCTATAAACAGGTTCACCCCATAGGTGGAGGAGTGCAATGGAGAGTGAGACATAATTGCAGATAGCTCCAGTCTTACATCCTCCCAATTTAGCAATTCCCAGGAAATTTGGAACTTCTCCCACCCTACCTGTATGTGAAGTCTCACAGGAGAATTCCGACAGGCCCAGCCTATGTCAGATGCCCCTTCCTGGGATGTGGGGAAGGGTACAGTAATGAAAAGCGCCACAGGAGCCCATGGAATAGAGAGGGGCTCTTTCACAAAGGAAGAAGATGCTGCACTCAGAAGTGGGGGTGGAATGCTGGCAGATGAACGCATACAGGAAACCAGAACAATCATTTATCAGCCACATTGTGTGTGTGTGGTGGTGGCAGAGAGGAGGGTATAATATTGGTGAAGAGGTTAACCTAGAGGCACATGTGTGCTGTTCTCTCCTTAAGACAAGGTAGCAATTGGGAAGGTGGGTGCGGGCCTCTTGAGGGGAGAGGAGAACAGGGACAGGACCTGGAATGTGGGGCACATGAGAAGGAGCAGCTGGCTACACCACAAGGACTAATTTGGGGAATTCATCAGCAGACACAGGAATTTGGCTGGGGAGAAAACTATGTTTTTTGATATTTCTAGTGCTTTGGCTCCTCTGCTTGGATTATGGAGGCAGTAAAAGAAAAGGAGAGAAATAAATTACAAGGAGCAGAGTGAAGAAATATGGGATAGTTTTTTGCTGCCTTTTTCCAACCTCTTTACCTCCCTTCAGAGTTGAGCCTTTTTCAACTGTGAGTTTGCACATCTGTGACACTCTCATGTCTCTGATTCCAGAAAGATACTCCTTTCACTGGTATCCAGCAGAACTGTTTCCCAGTGGTATGAGAAGTGATGGAACCTAATCCTGAGTGGACGTGGCAACCAGTGAGCCACTTCATTGAAGCAAATTATGGCTGCAGCAAGGAGCCCCCAGGCACACCCATCCCCAAGCAAGACCACACAGGGACAGAAATCAGCCCTTCATAGCAAAAGCCCTGACTATGAAGCTTCCCGCCAGCACTTTAGGCAGTTCTGCTACCAGAAGGTAGCTGGCCCCAATGAAGCTTTTAGCAAACTCTGGGAACTCTGTTGTCAGTGGCTGAGGCCTAAGACACACTGAAAAGAGCACATTCTGGAGCTGCTGATCATGGAGCAGGTTCTGAGCATCTTACCAGAGGAGATCCGGACATGGGTGAAGGAGCAGCGTCCAGAAAATGGCGAGGAAGCTGTGGCTCTGGTTGAGGATGTACAGAGAGTGCCTGGGCAACAGGTGAGAAAAGGAAGGCAGAACCTTGTGGTTTTGGTTATGAAGAATTGGGGGTGAGAAGCACAGGAATGGAAAAACTGGAGAGGCGCTCCGTTCAGAAATGCACAATAGCCCTCTGCCACCCACCAGAAAGTATTAGCTATCTTGGGTTGGTCCTATGTCCTTAGTCTATGGGAAGAATTTCTCATTTGCTGAAATAACTTGGACATTCTTATATTCAGTAAATGTTTAGAGTGGTGAAAACACTCAGAAAAATTCTCCAAACAAGGCCAGGGAAAGGACCACTATTCTTTACTCAGAGGGTTGGGAAAATTAGAGATGTTGGTGAATGAACATCTAATTTCTTTTGCTGGAAGGTTCCTTGAGGGCAGAATGTCATGTGTTGTACACAAAACAGTTTTATTAGAGCTGATCCTTGCTGCCTGGATAAAGTGGTCAGTTTGGGACATGATGAGTTTCACAAAATATCTGCTTGTAATGGTGGTGGGGCAAGGCCTCTCCAAGGGAACATTTGAGCTGACAGGTCAAGGAAAGAAGGAGCCAGTTGTGTCAAGAGCTGGGAAGAGAGTACTCCAGGCAGAGGGCACGCAACACTCCAAGAGCCTCAGGTGGGGGTGGACTTGGCATGTTTGAGAAGGAAGTGGGGACTTGTGGCTGGAGCTTCAGGATGGAGGAGAAGAGTGGTGTGAGAGGTGAGAGGAGGGCAGAGGCCACCTTATGCTGGGCCTTTCAGGCTGCAAAGAGGAGTTCGGCTTTTATTTTGCATGCAGTGGGAGCCACTGAAGAGTGTTAACAGAGATGGGCATGATCATATGTTTTAAAAAGATCTGCTAGATTCTGTGTAGAGAGAGAATGGGTTAGAGGGTCCAGCAGCAGAGAAGATGCGGATAAGAGCCAATGACAGCAGTCCAGTCCAGACAGAGGATGGTGTCTTGGACCAGGCTGGAGGGTGTGGAGAGGGAGAGAAGAGGACTGATGCAAGGGACCTTTTGAAGGTAGAACTGGCCGGACTTGGTGATGCATTGGATTAGGGGGGAGAGAAAATGGCAGTAGTGCTGAGATCACAGGAGCTCTCTCATGTGAAAGCTGATGCTCTCATTTCCAACACATGTACACCACTTTAGCCCTTCTGGTATGTCAGGGTCTATGCAAAGAGCTTTCATGTAAATGATTTTAATCACTTGAGACCAAGTGATTGAGACCAAATTCTATTCATGTTTATTTTATTACAGTGGCTCTGAGAATATTTCTCTTCTGCTTCCTTATGTCTCATAGCACTTTTTAATGCCACTCTTAGGGGTTGTAGGTCCAGCTTAGGCAGGAATTTGTAGTGACAGATGATAGAGTCTGTTCTCAGGGGGATTCTGGGAAAGACTTGAGAGTGCTCATCAAGGAGACTACCCCTTTAGGAGGAGCTGGAGAGTCACTGAGATCACACCTGATCCAGGGGCTTCATCCAGAGGAATGGGCTTTGGAGGGGTCACGGAGCTCATTCCAAAGACCACGGGAGCAGTTAGGAGGTAAGCAGAGGCCTCTGCCCTCACCTGAGGAAATGCAGGTCTGAGCTTGAGTCTGCCCCTGGGCTCCAGATGAAATGCCTTTGAAATAGATCCAAAAGACAAGATTTCAAATTTCGGTTGATGGTAACAGCACTTGAAATAATCTTAGAGATCATTTATGTGTTAGCCTAATCCTCTTTTATTTCAATTTAATTCTATTCCTTCTGAATCAGGCGTATTAAAGGGAGCATGTTTACCTTCACCTTCTGCGTAGCAGTTCTTTTTTTTCTTTTTTGAGGAAGATTAGCCCTGAGCTAACATCTGCTGCCAATCCTCCTCTTTTTGCTGAGGAAGACTGGCCCTGAGCTAACATCCATGCCATCTTCCTCTACTTTATATGTGGGACGCCTGCCACAGCATGGCCTGACAAGCGGTGCATAGCTCTGCACCCAGGATACGAACGATGAACCCCGCGCTGCGGAAACGGAACATGCGAACTTAGCCGCTGTGCCACCAGGCCAGCCCCAGCAGTTCTTCGTATACCTAAAGACTTTAAACCCCCTTTCCTATCTAGCTTAATTTCTTCCAGAATAGATTTCTCTTATTATTTTTGCTTTTCTTCCAAAGCTGTAGTTGTTATTTTTACTGGTCTTAATTTTTTTAGAAAAATTTTAATTAAAATTTTTTTAAATTGAGGTGAAATTCACATAATATAAAATTAGCCATTTTTTCTTTTTTTTTTTTTGCGGGAAGATTAGCCCTGAGCTAACATCTGCTGCCAATCTTCCTCTTTTTGCTGAGGAAGACTGGCCCTCAGCTAACGTCTGTGCCCATCTTCCTCTACTTTATATGTGAGACACCTACCACAGCATGGCTTGCCAAGCAGTGGTGTGTCCGCACTGGGATCCAAACCAGCAAACCCCAGGCCACCACTTCGGAATGTGTGCACTTAACCGCTGTGCCACCGGGCTGGCCCCATTTCCTTTTGATCTTTGGGAACATCTGTGCTCTGTGGTGTGTGACTTCTGTGGCATTAGGGTCTGTGAGTAAAGGAGGGCGGGACTCACTGTGTGGCACGTGCTGCTCCCTCTGCTCGTGGGCTGCCAAGATCCCAAGTGTTGTAACTTCCCCGGCGGTCACAGAACTCTGAGTGTCCTCTGAAGCTCATCAAAATGAACCATTTCCTTTGTAGAACTCTTGAAGATTGGTGATCTGGGAAAGAATATGTTATCTTGGTCTGAGGAAAATTAAAAGGGTTGAGTTACTGTCATATTTGGGAGAGTACTATGTTTATCTCTGGGTGGTGGGGATCTGAGAGATTCCTTCCCATTTTCTGTTAAAAATTTGTTTTTCTGTAATGTGCACATATTTCTTTAGAATGAAAAAAAACCTTTCTTCTTTTTTTTTTAAGGCTCTTATGCCAAGAATCTTGTTAAAGGAGCATCACAGCACATGGAGAGGCCATTGGGTATGCTGGTGATCCTCAATCTTGAGTGTGCCACAGACTCATTTTGGGGGTGTGTTCAAACAGATTCTCAGGCCTCACCCCCCAGCACTTCTGGTCCGAGTAGATCTGAGGTGAGGCCCGAGAATATGCATCTCTGAAGGGTTCCCAGATGCTGCTCATGCTGCTGGCCCGGGGACTGCATTCAGAACCTCTTCTCTGTGGCTGTTGTGTGGAAGCTGCCCTCTAACAGTGGCTCTTTCTCCCTCAGCCTGGCTTACTCTGCACGCTCCCAGGAACCATCCCCAGAAGAGGGGTCTTCGAGACCAGGAGACAGGTGCTCTGCTTTGGATAGGAGGGGACCAGGTGAGCTGTGGCAGACACCTTTTTTCTCTTGAAGTTCCCATTTCACCTTGTACTCACTCTCACCCTAAAACTCCTTCTTTTCTGGAGATGTTAGAAAGGGTTTTTAGGTGGTCCATTGAGCTTTTCTTGTCTTGTTTTCTTATTCTGTCTACTCTGCCATCATCACATGGCTCGTTACTCACCCCGATCCTTCCCTCAGAGGCCTGACCTCCGTCTGCCTTACTATGCCCCTGATCTGATGACTGCGGTCCTGTCTCTGCCCCACCTCGGGCTTAGGGGAGTGCTATTGAAAGTGACATGAACTGAAATGGAGAGCAAGCATTTAGAAACTTAGAGCAATTTGACATTGCTGCACTATCCAACTGCATGTTTATTGTATTTTTAAAGACAATCAAAAAAACCTGGTTCTTTACAGACAATTTGGGAAGTACTATATTGGGCATTCTGGCCCTAGATATAGAACTTTGTAATTACTTTTACTTTCTGAGTGAAATGGGGTGGTTTGAAAGGTTTCTGAGCAGAGGAGTAATAGTTTCAAAACGATCCCTTTGAGTATTTCAATTTATTTGGCCCTTTACCTAAACATTTGTTTGTCTCTCCTTCTTGTTACAGAGACTTATATTGGACTGTGCCTCATTGAAGGCAGGATCCATGTCCTATTGATATTTGCATTTCTCAGAAAGTGGCATGGTAGACACTCATACATGTTAGTTGAATTGAATGAAGGATGGGGCCCACTTTGACTTCTGGGTCAAGAATAGAACGTAGGAGGTCAAGAGTGGAACCAAGCAGACCATGTAGCAGGCCATGCAGTAATCCAGGCTTGAGATGATGGCTTAGAGCAGAGTGGATGAGAGGGGGTAATGAGAAGGGGCTGTGTGCCCTTGAGAGCATCATGACCGGATGTTATCAGAACGTCCTTGTTGGGACGGCTCTAGACAAATGAGCCCTCAGTGACTGGCCCAGATGGGCACCCCTTTGAGGAATGTGTGGTGTGTTCTGAAACAACAGCCAGCCTGTTTGCAGTTTCCAGACGTTTACTCCTTACTCTCACCTTGTCCTAGTTAAGTGCTGTAAGTTAGTTCCTTGTATCTACATGGATGACAGGAGAGATAAACAGTCAGGGATGGGTCAGATCAGGAGGGACTTGGGCATCACAGGTGGCAGTAGGCAGAAGTATCCTATAACTAGTTCTTCTCTCCTCTAACTCTTTGCTTCCCTCCAAGTCTCGCATGTTCACCATGTCCTCTTATGCGGCACAGGCCCTCAGGGATCCCCACAACTGTGGAGCCACGTGAGCACGACCCTTGTGAGTCATATGTCAGGGGAAACGAGTGGGATTCAGGATAAAGGGAAATAAACAGGGCAGCTTTAGAAAATACTCTGCATCACAACTAGAAGGACCTGCAACTAGGATATACAACTATGTATGGGTGGGATTTGGAGAGATAAAGCAGGAAAAAAAAAAAAAAGGAAAATACTCTGCAACTCCTTCTCAGGTAAAAGGATGTCTTTTCGACTACAGTGAATGCTTTTGTTTTAGGAAAAAACTCCACAGGGAGGTGTGTTCCCAGGAATGACAGTAGCCAGTGTGGCATAATTTGAGAAACTAGGATGTAAGTTCTTGGGCTGCTAAAACCCTGCACTGTGGTATCCACTCCTCTCTGATCTGATCACTGTGTTTCTTGTTCCCTGGCAGCTGGTGTGCACTGGGGCTATGAAGAGACCAAGACACTCCTGGCCATTCTCAGTAATTGTCACTTTTATGAAAAACTCCAGACTCATCAGCAGAACATCCAGATCTATAGGGCCATGGCAGAACAACTGCAGGAGCAGGGCTTTCTGCAGACCCCAGAGCAGTGTCTCACCAAGTTCAAAAGCCTACAGTTACGTTACCTCAAAGTGAGGAGGGGCCACGTGCCTGAGCCTTGTACTTTTCATGAGGAAATGGATGTCCTTTCACGCTCCTGGGCTTCCACAACAACTGTTACAAGTGATGCTGTTTGTGGCCAAGAGGGAAGTGATATGGATGCTGGAGAGTTGAGTCAGCAGAACAGGAAGGCCACAGAGCTTGGAGAAGCTACCACTGTGGATGGTGCTGCTGGGGATGAAAAGGACTTCAGGGATCCTGGCCAGGAAGTTAGCAGACTTGACCTGTCACTCCTGTTACCCAACAGACTTGGTAAGACTCTTGGCTCTGGCAGTCAGAGGATGGAAAGTCCACTTAGAGACCATTAGCCTGGCAATGAAGAGAGAGCCATTTCTGCTTCTGGACTTGCCATCATCTTTCTGTTGAGCTTATACAGACCAGGGAGTCTTGGTTTTCATGGTGTTTAAAGATTGTTTCTCTTGCACTTTGGACTCCAATTTTGCATTTGCCAGACTGTTCCACAGAGTCCATGTCACTTTTTCCCATGGAGTTCCAATTACCTTGCCTCCTTAGATTGTCAGGTAGTCCTCCAGCCCAGACTCTCTCTCCTTTCCTCTTTCTCCAGCATTGATCCTCCTTTCATAACCTAAGTCCACACTTGCTAGCTACTCAGCAACTTGCTATCTTCATGTTTGAGGTGGTCACCCAGGGTGGCCTTTTGTTTTTCTGTTCACAGAAGCTAGGCCATTCAAGAATTCAGAATACACGTAAAGACAGACTGACTGGTGATGCAGAACTTGACTCTTTGCCTCAGTTTTGTCATTGCGTTAGATCATCCAAAAAGAAATAGAATAGGAGAATAGTTGGTGGAGTTTAGGGTATATTTACCTGTGACCACAAATTTCGACCTTAAACATGCTACAATTGGAGAGAGAAACATAGGCTTTTAATTAGCAGAAGACTGAATCACGTGAAGAATTCCAGTTAGGTGTTTCTTCTTTATGTAGTTTAATTGTTAACTCTTTTCTCATTCCATTTTTTTTCTTTCTCTCCAGTCTATTGTATTTCTCTTCTTCCAGATTTTGGGGTCAAGAATGGGATTAAAAATGAGAATGTGAAATGGGATGATTCAGAGGAAGCAGAAATGAACAAGGCCCAGTGGAGAAAGTCTAGTGAAACTTTTTGGTACTCTGAGCTAACAAGAGGCTGGAAGGATGAGCCAATGTCAGGCAGGCAACATAGATGTTCTCCAGGTGAGAGTGAGGAGAAACCCCCATCCCAGGAGAGGATGAGTCACCAGAGACTTCATACTGGGAGGAAGGCCTGTGGATATCTCCTGTGTGGGAGGAAGTGCTCTCAGAGTTCTCCCTCACCATCAGCCGGCTCCAGAACTGGAAGAAGCTTCTTGTATTGTTACAAATGTGGGAAAAGCTTTAGCCAAGGTTCTTATCTTGTTCATCATCAGAGAATCCACACAGGAGAGAAGCCTCACAAGTGCAGTGAATGTGGGAAGGGCTTTAGTGAGCACTCCACCCTCACAACTCACCTAAGAACTCACACCGGGGAGAGACTCTACCAGTGTGGAGAATGTGGGAAAAGCTTCAGCCAGAGCTCCAGCCTCATTGTCCACCAGAGGACCCACACTGGGGAGAAGCCCGATCAGTGCCCTGTCTCTGGAAAGAGATTCAACAACAGTTCCCGGTTTAGCAGCCACCACCCAGTCCATCCTGGGGAGAGCCCATACGATTGTGAGCAGTGTGGGAAAAGCTTCAACAACAGCTCCCACTTCAGGGCCCGCCAGAAAACGCACACTGGGGAAAAGACTTACAGGTGCTGTCAGTGTGCAAAAAGCTTCACGAAGAACTCTGCCCTCATACGCCATCAGGGGGTACATAAATGAGATACCCACATCACAGGAAGGAGGAGAGATGCCATGAGTGTGTAGGAAACCTGACAGATCAATTCCTTAGGTCAACATATGTTATTTAGAGCTTCCTTCTGCTTATGGAGAGTTCTACCAGCCAATCCCTGGCTTAGCAGTAGAGTTACTGACAACCAGTTAAGCACTTCAGAACCATGTCCGGGAATAGGAATCAGCATATGAATGATAAATTCTAGCTCCTCCTACAACTCCAGAGTATTCTCTCACTGTGGACTTCAATTTTTCTTTGAAGGGAAGAAGGCTATAGGATCCATAAGTCCTGCCAGAAAGCCAGAGTGTCCTTGTTTTGAACAGAGAATGAGTGGGTAGTGGTCTGAAAAGTGTTTCTGCACCATGCCAGGGAAGGAATTGTTTCTCCTGGTGGGAAGCACATCTACAGGGTAATAGCGTGGACCTATTCTTAACGAATAGTTGACCTCTAGGCACCTGCTGTTAGGTACTGCTGCTAACTAGAGCATGTCACTACTCTGGAATCCAGCCACCACCAAAAATGGAACAAAGGGTAGGAAGGATAGGTTAGGCCACTGGTTAATACTAAATCTAAGTGACTTAATCTTAGAGCAAGTGGAACATCTTTGATAATCTTTGTAAGATTCCTGGTTTCTTGTCTCTTATAGTGATGTTTTTACAAGTTTATAAGCATTACTGTTTCTGATGAAAATAAAGGTGTTTCTCCCTCCACTTCCCTGGCCTTTGGTTGTAATTTTCTCCCTTGGAAACATTATAGTCACACAGAAGCCTGCAGGGTTCTGAAGAGCATCTAAGTGTAGAGCCTGCTTCAGGGCAGTAGGACATGCAGAGAAGGAATAAGGGGCAAGAAACGGGGAGAGGAGGAATAGAATTGCGTTGGGAAGGGTTTGAGCCATTACTGAGAAGGGAGATCACAGGAGTAAGAAAATATAGGGGCTACAGGAGGCTCTGACTGCAGGTGCAAGGAAGGGTTGGTGTGAGGAGCACTAAACAAAATGTAAAACTTACTGATCCCGATCAAGGGAATGTTTAAGCTTCTGTAAAATCAACATGGAACAAAGCATTAAAAGATAGCTGTACTGTCCATGGTTCTTGGCCTGTGCATACAGGGTGTTAGCACCTTAACTAAGCTATAGTGAAAAGCAAGTGTCACAGTCTCTGCTTGAGCCTTTTTGAGGAATTAAATATGAGCAAAGGAGAATGTGCATTCTACCTCAACCAAATTTCTTTTCTTTTCTTTTTAAAGATTTATTTTTTCCTTTTTCTCCCCAAAGACCCCCAGTACATAGTTGTGTACTTTTAGTTGTGGGTCCTTCCAGTTGTGGCATGTGGGACACCACCTCAGTATGGCTCAATGAGCGGTGCCATATCCGCACCCAGGACTCGAACCAGCGAAACCCTGGGTCTCAGAAGCAGAGCATGCAAATGTAACCACTCGGCCACGGGGCCGGCCCCAAATTTCTTTTTTTTTTTTAATTTTGGGGAAGAAGGTGAATGAAAGGCAGGATGTAAGAGTATACTTCTGTGTTTCCTCGGGGTGATCCTTGCCTGGGCTACTCCACGTTTCCCACATACACTCTCCTGGAGCATGTCCCTAGGACAAGCTATGCAGGCCAATTCCCAGAGTCACATACTTACCTCTGCTCTACACAGAGGGAAAAATACTATCTTCGAAAAGCCCAGGCAAAGGCAGAGAAGTGGGCTTGAATGTAACCTGTTTCGGTCAGTCCAACATCACTGGAGATTCATGGTGGGGAAAAGGGAGACAGCCTGGGGGTGGATCGATTACTCAAGGGCTTTGGATACCAATTCACATAAGTCGGATTTGATAAAGGAGGAAAGCTAGTGGAAGTGTAAAGAAATAGAGGTACTCAACAAGGCCTCACCAGCAGGTTCCTCCCACTCCTGGGTCGGCTGGGGCTGGGGCCGGGGAGTGGGATGCTGCCGGAGTCCCGCCCCGGCTGAGTCCAGGTTCCTGAGGGTTGGACGGCGTCGGCGCAATGAGGGGAAAATAAAGGGGACGTGAGACTTGTGTTGGTATTAGCAAGTCCAACTTTACCGTGCACAAGTGTCGTTTTTATATTTTTCCGGATTAGTACAGAAATAGCTCTACAAATATTCTCAGAGAGATAAGGAAGTAAAAAACGAGCACAAGAATATTTATTAGCATTCTATTCTATAGAGCATAAGGTTAATGGTAGTGTTCTCCGCAATTAACTAGTGTTTGTTGTCTCTAAGCTAAAAGAGAGAGGTACCTAGACATCTGTCATAATTCATGGTAAAGTTAAGTCAAAGAGAGAAGGTCCAGGCCTCCAGACAGGACAGCATTCCGTCTGGTTACATCCTGGGGGAACGATCCCTTCCTCCCTCAATCATTTACACCATTAGTGTGGATGGTTAATGGGAACAAAAGGCGACTCCAGGGTGTCTTATCCCCAGCGCTATTTGCATTCTCAGCGGGCAGTTAAACATCTTTACATTCCCGCGCCCTTTAGGGGGTGAAAGCATTCCTTTGTCTTTTAGGTTGTAGAGCTAACAGTCCCTTAAGCACACTTCCCGGAGAAAATATCATTTTGTTAGTAAAGTAAAGGGCTGAAAAGCTAAGCTAAACTATATATCTTCAAGAATAAAAAACAAAAATAAGTATAGACATAACCTTGATAGAAAGCATGCATATAATTCAGAAAATATCAGGGGTGTCAGCCGGCTATTCTTCACCGAGGGGCATCCCTGCACCCCTTGGCCCTTCTACTCATCAATTATTTATTATTTATTGCTTTTAGGAGGAAACCTCTATAACATTTTAACAGAAAGCAGAAGGTCAAGAATAATATATAGATACTTCTTGATCATCCAATTAACCAGCAAACTTGGAGGGACGATGCATATGTATTTAGACAAAGAACTGGAGGAAGAAGGAAACATTAACCAGATGGAGGCCATAAACCTAATTCGACATCTTATCTGAGCAGGATTCCTTTCTGCTTGTCTCAAAAGGGACTGTGTGCTGCTCCATTAATTAACTGAAAAATATCTTGAAAGTTACCGGCAGGTGGTCACCTTCGCTTACTGTATTTAATTCTCCTGGGAGGTAGTGCCTCCCAAGCAGCCACCCGAAGGAGTGAAAACTGGAGGTTAAGAAAGGAAAAGGAATGAAGGGCAATTAGAAGCAGCACAGGTTTCAGAACTACGTGAGGGGCTGGTCGGTTATTCTTCACCAAGGGGCGACCCTGCACCCCTCGGCGTTAATCGGCTGGACCCTGTCAAACAGCCGATCAAATGATGTAGCCACGGCTCCCGGCAGGATGCAACTGTTGAACTCCTTGCATTTTTGGGTGGCCTCCACCCTCCAGGCTTTATCCTTTAGTCCACTTTATCCTCTTTATCCACTTTAGTCCGCTTTATCCTCTAGTCTACTAGGCAGGAAAAGGAACACAGAGTACTAGAATTCCCAAACTTTGCCTGTCAGCTACGCTGGATGGTCTGGGGTAGAGAGGTAAGAACTGTAGAATGCACTTGTACATTCATAAAGGAAATGTTTTCTTTCTTTTTTCCTTTAATATTGGCCCTGAGCTAACATCTGTGGCCAATCGTCTCTCTTTTTTTTTCCTCCCCAAAGCCCCAGCACGTAGTTGTATAAGCCAGTCGTAGGTCCTCTAGTTCTATGTGTGACGCTGCCTCAGCACGGCTTAATGAGTGGTGGGTAGGTCCGGGCCCAGGATCAGAGCCGGTGAACCCCCACTGCTGAAGCAGAGAGTGTGAACTTCACCACTATGCCACTGGGCCGGCCTCATAAAGGAAATATTTGATTGCATATAATTTATCCGCTATTGTAGTATGAGGCAAATACAAAAAGCAGTGAACTAACTAGAAACTATCTTCCAGAACCAGCCTCGTCAGACCCCTCAGAGGTAGAGGTTTTCCACACTAACTGAAAGGTCAGTTTACAGCACTTCGCGTTTATAAAAGACCTTTTGCTAACCAAAAGAAATCCGAAGAAAATTTTCACTTCTATGAAAAAAAGGCAAAAAGTGAAAATAGTGTTCAGTGTTTCTTTTGCAGCGAGCCATTACAGTGGCTAAGCAGTCAAACATATGGTCGCAACTCAAGCCTGAAATATCAGGCACAGCGGACTACTAACCTTGCCCTTCGACTGGAGGCAAGCAGATGTAGAAGGTGCAGATGTTGGTGACCTGCCTGGACTGATGGATTCAGACAGTGACGGGATGTTAACAGATAACCCTCTTCCTCTCTCTCCTACACCCTGGTCTCCTGTACCTCCCACCACTTCAACCTCTGACGGCTCAGCCTAACACACCACCATCACCACCACCACCTCTCAGCCTTCCAGTGTGCTCACACTCTTCCCGATTCTGGTAAGTGAAACTACACTGTATGTACATTATTTCTATTTTACACAGGCTGTGTATTTATCATATCCTTCCTGCTTTCACTATGTTAGTATGTGAGGTTTTATGTGTTATTTGTATGATTTGGTAGGTTATTTTTTGGATCTGGGAATGCTCAAAAATTGTTCTCATATAAACTATTGGTAATTGCTTCTTTGCTTTACACTGCCTTGGCTTACGAAAGGGTTCATTGCAACACTCTACTTTAGGGTAGTGGGGAAAACCTGTACCAGCACCAGTCGGGCAGCAACCCCCAGGATCCGAGTCCCAGGTCTTCAGGACCTCTCTTCCAAGCTTCCAAATTATGACAAACACAACATCTTCCCTATGCACCCCTAACCCCACATGTGGTAGCTACTTCCTACAGTTGCTATCTCTGTTACCTTAGTGTCTATCTCCCATTGTCTAATGCAGCGTCATCACCACACTAACCACTTGAGAAGGAATTTGATGTGGGTACACAAAAGGTAACACCGTCAAGTCTATAGATTTCCTCTGATGTGTAACAGTACCCTCCTGGTTTGGACGCCCTCCAGACGTCCATTAAAAGCCAGTTAGTTTTGCCTGTAACTTAAATACTTGGGCCCTCCATGTAGTTTCTATACCTCCCTTTCTCACTGAAACATTTTAACTAACCGATAGAATTCTTCAGTTGACACTATTTCTTTTTCCCAAGGATTCCTAACCACTTCCCACAGACTGGATCAGATATGCTCACAACCCAGAGAAGCAGGGCAAAGCCTACACATTGTCATCCTCGTCACACACCTCTTGTGGATTCTCAGCCTAAGCTGGTGGATGCATGGTCACAGCCAAAACAAGAGCTGGGCCCGTCAAGCCTACTTAGCTCACTTTCCTTTCCTCTTGCCACCTCTTCTATGCCTCTCCTGTGAGGGGACCGGCTTACCAGTCATTTTAGGAACTGCCCAGGACTTCTGGGATCCTGGACTCGAGTGTACCCATATCATCGCTCACTTTCTCACATGTGAATGCTCACTTTTACCATTATCAATTCCAGACTCCGTGCAGTCCTGCTGCTCATCCTTGGCTTGACTTCAGGGTAGAGACAAAGAGAAGGACTGAGCGTTCTTTACCTGTGGAGAACACAGGACTCTAGCAACTACCCTCACAGTTCCCTGTGGTAGGGCAGTTAGCCTGAAAGATTTTGAACTTGGTGCCGCCCTGCTCTGGCATCTGGAGGAAGCTGTGCTCCCGAAGCTGCTCAGGCATTCCCCATACACTTGGACATTCTAGTGGCACCTCGGGAGTCTTGCATAAATTTTGGATTTACTGAGAATGGGAAGTAAAGTCTGGGTTTCCTGGCAGCCACACCACATACCTGCTATAATAGGTTAAGTGACTTGCGTAGTGACTAAAGTTAAGGAGTTGGATTTTGAACGTGGGTTAAGTCAATTCCAAAGCCTTTAATTCCTTCAGTCTGTCACTCTCAACACTCTTTCTGACTAAGGATTTCTGTGAAACCTTGGAATACAGACCTTATACTGCATGTGACTACCATCAGGGTAGTCTCGTGGCAGGGGCCACAAGCCCCGTGCCTTTGGGAGGACCTAGGCACAGCTTAGGCTGCATCTCACATTGATGACCACCAACTATCTCCCAGGAATGCTGTTGTGCCTGGCACTAGATTAAGACCTAGGTATTACACAGTATAAATTAGACATGGTCCCTTAGAAGCTTTTACATTTTACAGCCTAAAGGTAGAACAGGCAAAAACACACCCATTACAAAGAAAGGAGACTCATCAGAGATCTCACTTGTTATAGAGGATGGTCACACAGTCCCCTTTACCATCGAGGCGTTATCCATCAGAGGCCATAGGTGATTAGCCATCAAGGCATTGTCCATTGGAATCTCCAGTTGGATTTGTGTTACAAATCAAGACTTCACACTCAGATACAGGAGACAGTGGCAGTAAGCTGGCATGTCAGATGTAGAATTAGTGTACTCTCTGCTGCTCCTGGGTTTGGCCAAGCACACAGTGGGGGCTCATCCTTTCATCTAGACTCTCCTTTTTCCTCTTAGCTTGGCTATTTAGGTAGTGCTAGATACCTGGCTATAGATCATTCCAGCTCTATTGTCATTTCCTCAATGGCCAAGTCACCTGACACATCCAAATGAGATCTTCTCTCTGGAGATTTTCACCCCTCTGGTAGTGTCTTCTGATTCAGAATGACCCTTCCAGGCTGGACTAGCTCACTCATACTCATTCAGAAAATTTTCTTATCAGTCTAAACTAAGATCAAGCTCTCTTCCTTGGGTAGCAGTAGGTCACCATGAATGCCCCCAAATATAGACCAGCTTCATACATGACCCTTGTAAGAGCTACCATGGAATGAGCCTTTCTGAAGGGAGGACCAGAGGAATACGTAGCCTACCTCTGGAACTGAGCTGTCTCAGCCTAACATCTGCATCCCAATTCTGGTCATGACAGAACTATAAGATCATGTCTGTGATCCCATGGGCCCTGACAAACTCTCATCCTGGATTCGTCATGCCTCTTCCTTTTCCAGCCTGAGACTCTGTATCTCACCATTTTCTTTAAATAGCTGGGTTCCTCTTTAAGGACTCATGGCGTGAATGGTCTGAGCATGTGTTCTGGCTCTTCTCTTGGGAAAGCCCCAGAAGATAAGCTTCAAGGGCTCCAATAAAGCTTGGCAACTCTCCACATAAGCTCAGGGTTGCTGGTTCTTCTGGGAGCACACACATCAACACCAGGAAATACAATCCCGCCACTGACATCCTACCTCCCCTACTCCACCCCAGATCATCCTATGGACCAAGGGAAGAAAGGTACAGGAATAGAGATTCCCAGAAAGCCAGAGCTAACAACTGGAATGAGGAGGGTGGTATGTGCTGCTGGGCAGAGTAGAAGAGAGTCAGGATCCCACTGCCACACCTGACAGTGGCAGAGAGCACGGCAATGTCATTTTTGCTCAAGGCAGTGCAGGGAGGGCTGTAGAAGGCCCCCAGCCTGAGTCCCTCAGCTCTGTTACACTTTGCAGCACTGCTCTCAGCCCCCAGTGACCTACTCAGGGCCTCTCCTGACCGGAAATCCAGTTGTACTGATCTGTTTTCGGAAGAGGTGTGACTCAGACACTGAGGACTCAAGCAAAGTTCCCACAGCTTGCTGGGCATTATACTCCCTCCATCTGAGAGCAAGCACTTCAGTTAAAACAAGATTCTCATTCACAGAGCCGGCTCAGGTGAATACAATGTGCAGAGGAGAAAGGTTGAGTTTTACAGAGGGCAAATATCACCTTTGTTTCATTTTTGGGAGCAGAGATATACTGAAAACTCAGTGATTGGTGCGGGTCTCACCTCACCCTCCACCCACCCTCCTTCCTTAAAAGAGAAAGAAAGTCTGTTCTCTTAGGAAAGCTGGCATAGACAACAATCAGAAAAATAAACAAGTGCTTAAGAAGCAACAGCAAAATCAAGGTTCTCCACTTTGTTCCAGCTGCCTGTCCCTGAACCCCGGCCCTCTGTGACCTGATCTCCATTTTCTCTTACAGACTCCCCTTCTCACCACTCCTTTGGTCTCCTGGGTTCTCACTCCAAATCCTGCACCAAGCTCACTGCCTTCTCAATAATTGCTGGATGACATGTGCCCACACAGTATTGGATTTCCCTGTGCACGTGGGTCAGACATTGCTTCAGCTCCAGGATCTTCTCCTTGAATGCAGCTTGGGCTGCAGCCATCAACAGCAGGGCTCCTGGAGCTGGATAAAAGCCTTATGAGGCCCAGAACTTGCTGATAACTGGAGAGTCTAAAGAGCTGGGGGGAGATCTCCAACATGCCAACCTCTCTGAGAGGTCAGCTTCTGCCGTGAGCCAACTGAGAGAATGTGAGCCATAAAGAGGAATTCAACTGAAACTGAGGCTGATCTGTGGCCCCAAATTCAGTTCCTACAACTCTGAAGAATCACCTCCAGCTACTCCTCTCCGATAAAAACTTCACTCTGGAAAGAGAAAGATGTCAATGTGAGAGTTCATTTCTACTTCACTTTCTAAGTGTAAGAAAGAAGGTATAAATTTATTTATTATTTTTTTTTAAAGATTTTATTTTTTTCCTTTTTCTCCTCAAAGCCCCCTGGTACATAGTTGTATATTCTTCGTTGTGGGTCCTTCTAGTTGTGGCATGTGGGATGCTGCCTCAGCGTGGTTTGATGAGCAGTGCCATGTCCGTGCCCAGGATTCGAACCAACAAAACACTGGGCCGCCTGCAGCGGAGCGCACGAACTCAACCACTTGGCCACGGGGTCAGCCCCAGAAGGTATAAATTTATTCTCTCTTCAAATCAGCCTGGTCTATGAGACAGTGTTACCTAATAGAAATAGCACAGACTTTGACCATCAGGTGCATCTGGTCCCCAGTTCGACCAGAACCCCACACCAGCTGGTTTTGGGCAAACTGTTCAACTTCTCTAAGCCTCTTTTTCTCATCTGAGAGTAATAACAGCTACCTTGCAGGAGAGAGAAAAATATTATTATGCTATTTGTAAAGTCTCTAGCCCAGTGCTTGGCACCCAGAAAGTGCAGAGTTAATGGTCTGCGGTGGTAGCAAGAGAAACTCCATTTCACGGGAACTTCTTCATGGCATACCTCACTACTTGACATGTACATATAGGGTCAATATCTGTCATCCTCTGCAAGAACGTAAGGTTCTTGGGGAGCAGGGAATTTGTTTTGTTCATTGTTGAATCACAGCACCTCAAATAGTCTCCGCTGCTAAATAAATATCTGGCGAATGAATGGGTGAAAACATATAAGGAAGACTGGGGTCATCAGACCTGATTAATTGACTGGGTGTCAAGTACTTAAGCATTATAGACAATACAAATGGAGACTAAGACTGGTTTCTGGGTGACATGTCTCTGACATCTGTCTCCCCTTCATTTCCACTACTTTGGCTCTAGGGCAGGATTCCTGAACCTTGGCACTATTGACATTTCGGGCTGGACAGGTCTTTGTTGTGTGTTTGTGTGGGTGGTGTCCTATGCAGCCTAGGATGTTTAGCTACATTCCTGGCCTCCACCCACCAGATGTGAATAGCACCCCCCTTGTGTGACAACAAAATTGACTCCGGACATTGGGAAATCTCTTTGAGCAGCAAAATCGCCCCTGGTTGAGAACCACTGGTCTAGGGAGATGTCATTAGCCCAGGCTGGCGTAAGAGACTTCCATCTGTCCACCTGGCCTGCCTACAGAGATCTCAACTTCTGGACTTTCTACAAATCTAATCCAATGGTAACTCCTCTGCTCAAAGCCTTCAAGACTTCTTGTTGCCACTGAAATAAGCCAAGATCTCCAAGCTTGCAAGGCTCTCCCTGCCATTCAGGGCCCAACCTACCCCTCCAGCCTCACTGCCCTCAGTACACAGTCCAGCATGGGCGAACTGGTTCCAGGTCCTGCCTTAGTACCTTTGCCCACCGAACTTTCCCTGTCTAGAACACTCTTTCCCCAAGGCCTGACTCATTCCTTCCATAGAAACTGAACACAAGGGGCTGCCGGTCTTCATCTCTCCCAACCACGGGAGGAAGAGGACCTGAACCTAGGCATGAGAAATGTAGAAATATGGAAAATTTTACGCCCTCAACGAGTGCACCATCAAAGAAGGCAAGAGAACCCACAAGATCACCACCACCTTCTTGAAGCCTCCTAACGCTTTGAACTCCTCGGCGCTGTCTGTAACTCTCTCTTAGGGCGCCTTATCCTGCTCCACCTAACACCAGAATTTGTTTCTGACGGGTTCATCTCCTCCACTAGTTCGAGGCTGTCTGAGGGCAAGGAGCGCGTCAGTATTGTCTTCGTGTCGCCACTGCCCAGCACAAGGGCGCACAACGACGCAACAGAGGCTCAGCGAACGAGCGTTGTATTACGTAAACCGCAGGGCAAGAGGCTCCGAGCCTCTCAAAGGAGTCCTCACGGGAGACGGAACGGACCCGGCACCTCGTCCCCACGCCTCCCCAGACAGAGGGAGGAGGTCCCGGTCCATGGCCACTCCGAGTCTTCGCGTCGGGGACTCAGGGGACTAGACGAGAGCGGCAGGGTGGAGGGCAGAGCCGCAGCGCCCCCGCCGGCCCCGCCAGGATAAGCCTTTCCAACACACAAGACTCACGAGCCGCGCCACCTTTCCAACGCCCTACGCCGGAAGCAGCCCCGGGGCACGCCGGGACCTCCACAAGGCCAGACGCATGCACAAGGGCTACGCAAGCGACGCACTGAAGGACCTCCCGGTAAACTGGTTTCGGCCCCTCGCTAATCGACTGCAATCTTCGCCAATGAGAACGCAGGGTCCTCTTTGTGTGATACCCGCGTGCCACTCCCGCTCTTCGGCAACCCAAAGCCTGGATGTGGCCCTTGGTTAATCCCGCTTATTGGTTTACTTGTGGTCTCTTTGGAGGCGCTTCTGCTTCTCTTGCTTGGATGTGTCTTTGTGTCAACGGTGCCTGGAGTCACACCGTGTTTTACAGACGTGACAGCGACAATAATGAAAAAACGTAACGCTCCCTGTGTGCTTGGCACAGTTCTAAACAAGTGCATACTAATTCGTCCTCACAGCAGTCCTATGAGGTCAATATTATTACTCTTTTCATCTTCCAGACAAGGAAACCGAGACAGATTGTCTAATGACAGGCGTAGGACAAGAACTCGCTTCTAACCCAACGTTTTTTCCTGTGTTTTTATTTTTTAACATTCCGTCAGTACCGCAAAACATTCTCACCTGAAGATGAAGTCTCTCCATCCCGCATCTCCCAAACTACATTCCCTCTCCAGAGGAAACAAATTTTCAGTGTGTACATCTTTCTGAACCTTAATCTGTCCTTTTGGTCATTTACTATATCTTTAATTTTTTTCTGTTTCAATATATCCACCTCATCTTTTTTAAACTGTTGGATTTAGGCATGTACCACAATATATTCAATCTTCAATCGTTTCTCTTTTGTTGGACATTGAAATACTCAATTGTCACCTGCATGCGAGCGTGTTATCCTGGATTGGGATATTCTGCGTATATTTTGAAGAGGGAGCCTATGGATGGGAATGTGGAATGTGAGGGAAAGTATAGTGGAAGTTTCTACCCGTTCTCTCTGCCTTTGTTCTGGTCTCCCTTCATCCATTCATCATTTATGAGGATTCTAGTTGCACAATGAAGGAGTAGTGCTCCATCAGGATATGAATAGAGGGAGGTGGATGTGAAATAGACTGAGAAACCTCCTTAGAGAAAGTATTCCATCTTTGATTAAGTATTACACTGAGCAGTTGTCTCCAAGCACTCCCATATGCATTATCTATTTTGATCCTTACAATGTTCCTGTCCGGTATTATATTCATTTTACAGATGATGAAATGGAGTGCTAGAGAGATCCACCGGCTTCCATAGCTAATTAGTTGCAGAGTACATCAAATGTTCGATCTGTGGGCTCCTAGTGTCATGAACTTTCTAAGGTATCTCCCTATTCAGAGGGCAGGGTAACTAGATGGCTGCATTGACAGGAGAGAGACGTAGCAGGGTCTGATGCAGGGAAGAAGCAAGGGCAGAGCCATACTTCTCAGTAGCCTTAGTCATGTGTCTCTTCAGCCACCTAGAAACTTCTACAGTGCACCCTTAAGGTCCTTGTTCCTGAGGTTGTACATGAGAGTGGAACATGCATGTATCTATGATCAGAACAGGATAAAAATAAGGAATGTGTCCCGATCAAGGAAGTAGCTGTTCCTAGGCTAAATTTAGTCAGAGGTGACTGTCCCAAAGAGAAGTCCACCACCACCCTGTGGAAGCTGCCGGTTGCAAAGCCTCTGCTCCTCTCTGTCCTTGGCTGAGCAGATCCTTGGCCAGCTTTGGCAAGATAGCATAGGTGCCATGGATCAAGCCCTCAAAGACAAGTAGGAAGATGATTTCACCAGAAAGACCTTGAACTTTTTGAAACCTTTATCTCCACAGGTAAGCTTTATCAAGGTGGGTGTCACATGGAGGAACTGGTCAACTTCTGTGCTTCTCACAGAGGTGCAGCTGTAGCGTGGCAGGCAGCTGCCCTAGGGAGTTGTCAAAAATATTCTGCGAGGCCAGGGGTGCCAACTGCAGGCAGAGGCACCACTGCTTCACCACTGCATAGTGGAGGGCTGACAGATGGCAACGTGTGCTCAAGGCTGTCACTGCTAAGAGAATGCTCTCAGTGGAGTTGAGAGCCCGAACAAAAAAAAAAAAGAAAAAGCACCTGTAATCCCATCACATATCTGTGTATGTCTCCCAAGTTTTCTACCGTTCTGGGATCACAGTTTCCTTTATTATCCAAATGATATGATATTTCTTCTTGCATGGCTGCAGGAAGTTTTTTCTTTTGCTTTTTCTGCAGCTCTTTTCACTGGACATTACATTTCTTATGTCCAAGTTGGTGCACATAGCTGTACTTTATTCTCTTTTATTGCTGTATAGTATTCCATCATATGACTACCACAATTCATTCATGTATTCTTCCTGTTAGTGGACGTTTGGATTCTTTCTGGCTTTTGATGAGAAACAATGTTGCTGTGAACATTTTGTACATATAATCTGATGTACTTAGACTTTCTCTAGGGTATCCTTTAGAGAAAGAGGTCATAGGTATGCATGTCTTCAACTTTGCTAAATAATGCTAAACTTATTGTACTATGCCCTCTGGCCCCCTGCAGTATAATAGAATTCCTGTTGTTCACTATCATTGACATTTGATATTGCAGAATTTTAAATTTCTGGCAAGCAAAGGGAATAAAAGGATATTTCATTGTGGTGTAATTTGAATTTCCCTTATTCGTAACAAAATTGAGCATATTTCCATAGATGATCCACCAAATACATCTCATACTGTAAGAAACTTAGACCTCAAGTGTTTCTGAGATTCCTTGAGGAATAATTTCTTTCCTGGTTGTCACTCATCATGTCGTTCTCTGTACCAAATCTTCACTTTTCACACTTTGCCCTTTGTTAACTGGTTCTCCATTCTGTTTCCACTCTTTCTTGTCTGTTCCTAAGTGCACTGCTTGGGCACAATACTGTTCCTTTATTTCTCAAAAGAAGGTTCCTATGAGGCTTCACTTGTGGTTAAGAATAAAAGGACTCCAACACAGAAAAAAGACAACTAAAAACCAAACATTAGAGATTATGTCCCCTCTGACTCCTGGTCATGCCGTTTACAAGGGTTTTCCCACTGACCATCCATTTTTTTTTTCTTTTTCTTGAGGAAGATTAGCCCTGAGCGCACATCTGTGCCCATCTTCCTCTACTTTATATGTGGGTTGCCTACCACAGCATGGCTTGCCAAGCGGTGCCATGTTGGCACCCAGGATCTGAAGCAGCAAACCCCGGGCCACCAAAGCGGAATGTGCACACTTAACCGCTGCACCACCAGGCGGGCCGTGATCATCCAGTTTTTAGCTTTTGCCTGACATCGCTTTTGGGGTCTGAACAATCTCCTTTAATAAGAGCCACCCTTTGAATCTCTTTTCTCTCCTTGTGTCTATCCCCTACCTTTCCCAACCAAAGAAAGAAAAGAGTCAACATTATGCTACCTTTGGGATTCATGTTACTTTCCCCCAACACCAAAAATTGGTTGGAGCTTCCAACCTATTTTCCTAACAGAAAAACATACATATATATGTTTACATATATAATGTATGTGTTTTTATACTATTAGGGCAATTACTTTTCTCAGTAAAGTCTAATAGTTTTATTTATATTGCTCCTGCATATTTCTTAACTTCCAAGTATTTATTTTCGTTACTTTTGTACATTAGGTCTTCATTCTAAATCATTATTTCTAGTGTAGATGGAAATGTTTTAAAGATGACTATTTATTGCTTTCCTAATGATATATAACTGTAGGACAAATAGAACTGTAAACCCCCCCCCCCACACACACGTGTGTATTGTGGAATGGCAGAAATACATTCAGTGATTTAACAGATATATATATATATATAGACAGAAAGAAATAAAGAAGGAAATGTGTGTCTGTGTTTATGCCTATATTTCTCAATGTATCTACATATGCTACATTTATCTATCTCCTAGCTCTATCTACAGAGATGAACTGGGACCAGCCCACCCCAATAGTAATGAGGACACTTAGTGCACAGATATTGGCATATATATGCAAATTTTTTACTGATGAAAAATTCCCCATGCTTCATAATTCTATTTTTTCATAAACTATAGGGTCAAGATCCACATAGTGAACTTCTTCAGACTGAGGACACTGGACAAGCTTTTCTTCCCTCATGGAGTTTCTGGTGTCTAAGGCAGCTTGACCACCTGAATTTTCTCCAGCATACGCTACAGGTGGGTTCTCCGGTGTTTAGTAAGGTGGTAGTTCTGACTGAATTTTTTTCCACATTCATGACACGTAAAAGGCTTCTCTCCAGTGTGAGTTCTTTGGTGTGTGTGGAGATTTGAACTTTGACTGAAGCTTTTCCCACAGGATGAACATTTATATGGTTTTATTCCCTGGTGTGTTGTTAAGTGTTTATTAAGATCTGAACTCCATCTAAACCTCTTATCACACTGCTGACATTTATATGGCTTCTCTTCAGTGTGTATTCTTTGGTGCTTAATAAGGTCAGAGCTAACTCTGAAGCTTTTCCTACATTCCTGGCATTTAAAAGGCTTGTCCTCTGCACGCTCTTTCTTGTGAAGATCAATAAGTCTCAGCAGCTCTTCTTTCCAGGGTGAAACTTTCATTCTTTCCTTCTGTGGAAGGTCTTGGTGCCATTTCCCTCCCCTGTGTGTATCACCATGGTTTTCCTTGCCCATTGTTTTCTGGGGAACTTTCGCTCTGGCCTTTTTTGATACTATGTCTTCTGGTTCTTGTATTTCTAAGTCAGAAAGACATATAGGCTGTTGATTTTCAGTGTCATTTTTTAGCTTTAACCCTGTTGGAATAAACGTAAGAATAAGCCAATTGTATGGCAGAGCAAGAAAACCATAGGAATGGAGAAAAAAGATTCAATGATACTGATTTAAAGAAAATAGATAAGTAGAACCTTAAAATGTTATGTCTTTGCAAAGGTTCTCATCAAGGTACATTTCTTTTCTTCCCATGGTGCATTTACCTGTAGGCAGCTCTCTGGGACAGTCCTTGAACTCCGGGGATCCTTGAACCCAAGGCTCTTCCCCTTGCTCTAGACAGGATATCACTTTAGGTTTGGGGAGCACAAATAATGCTGTGAAATGGAAAAACTGAGGTCAAGAACTGGTAACTTAACAATAGCCCACATTACTTCACTGTTTCAGAAAGAACAAAGGACGCTTTTACATTTTGCTACCCCAAGAGGTGAAATGGATAGACTCTCATAGCTGGTATCAGGTTTATTCTATACTGCATTTGTCGGGGGACACACAAAGCAAAGACTGAGAAATAAACCTAAGATATATCAATAAAAGGTATATAGGGAGTGGATGTGCCTCCTCTTCTGCTACCAGGAATACCCCATATTCAATCAAGGTGGAACAAACTCCAGAGATTAAAGGGAACACAGGCTTTTCCTCTTAACTCTTTAGGAGGACTCATCCTGGATAAGACCAAGTCTAGTGGAGCCAATGTTCAAGTTCAGTGGGTTGGATATCATATGCACATGTGATTCCTGTCATAATTATAATAAGTTTTTATTTAGCTCTCAAGCATCAGACGCTGCATAGGAAAGACTTCTACCCCTCCTGTAACTCACTGGTTCATGTCCAGGTGGAGTAAACAGACCAGAATCACTTAGTGGACTTTCTCTAAATACAGATTGCCAAGTAGGGAAAGTATTCACCCCTCAGTAATTCAATAAATATGTGTTGAGTGGCTATGGTGTGCCAGGCATGCTCTATAGGCTACAGATATAGTGGTAAAAAAGCCAAAGTCCCCTGATCCCATGGAGCTTATCTTCTAGGGGGAGAGTGAGACAATCAAACATCAACAAACAAATTAAACGTCAGGAAGTGATAAATGTTTTGAAGAAAACTAAAGCAGGGGAAGAGAGTAGTTAAGATTCTGCATCTGTCAAACTATTTTAGATAAGGTTGTATACAAAACCTTCCCAGCTGTTTAGGAAACAGCTTTAGTGGGAAAGTGATATTTGAGCAGGAAACTAAAAGAGAGAGCTTAGCCATGTGGCAGAAAAGTGTGCCAGGCAGAGGAAAGGGGAAAGTAGAAATGAGCATGGCAAGTTCAAGAAACAGCAAGACCACCAGTGTGGCTACACGGACTGAACAAGGGCATGAGAGGCAGATGAGGGGAGGACAGGAGCAGGGGCCAGATCTTGGAGGGTCCTTGGCATCTTGGTAAGAAGTTGGATTTTTCTGAATGTGATAAGTCATTGTAAGGTTTTGAAGCAGAGAAATGTAGCAATCTGACCAGTTTTTTTTTTTACAGAGTCTGGCTGTTGTCTGGAGAACAGACTGTAGAAGGGCAAGAGTGACAGCAGGAGACACCAGTTGGTTAGTTACTGAGGTAGACCTGGAGAGAGATCCCACTGCTGTAGACTAGGATGCTAACACAGCAGGAGGCTCAGACATGGTGGGACTCAAAATATACTGAGAAGGTAAGAACCAAGAGAACTACTGATGCATTAGTTGTGGGGTATGGTAGTAAGTTCAAGGTAAAGGATGACTCTCTGTTTCTTGCTCTGAGCAACTGGGTGAATGGAGCTGCCCTTTACTGAAATAAAAACGTACGAGAAGAGCAAATTTGGGGAACAAAGAGGAAAGAGATCCAGAATTCTGTTTAGAATAAGGCATGTGTACTTGAAAAAAGCTCCCCAGGTATCTGGATGAACCTTTCCCCTGCCCACACCATCTAATTGAGGACCAACCAGCTACTGGAACAGAGACTCTCTCACAGGGGTGCATTCCCAGATAACTGAGAACATGACAGGTTGCTCAACTCCTACTCAAAGGGAGGGGAGAATCTTTACCTAGAGAGATGAGAGTCTCATAGTTTTCTTGCATTACATCATTGTAGAGGGCCTTCTGAGTGGGATCCAGTAACTCCCATTCTTCCTGGGAAAAATACATGGCCACTTCTTCAAATGTCAGCAAGCTCTAAAGAAGAGAATCGGCTTCAGCTCAGTAACGGCCACTATAGAAACACTCCGTGGCTACCACATGGCTCGTGAACTGCATACTAGGCCAGGCACTGAAGGAATTAACTGCACATGATTTTTTAAAAAGTGAGAATGCAGAAAGGAAGGAGGCAAGGGATCAGCCAATAGCCTGGGAAGTCCCAGTTCCCCAGGGAGAACATGTAGGTTAACACCCCTCTGAGCACCTGCTGGGCAGGGTGGGTCATGGGCAGTAGGGGAAGGCAGCCCTAAACAGCTGGGAAGCACAGCTCACCTGGGACTCAGGTAGGACGAGCTCAGGTGCCACTGTCCAGTCTTTGGTGTTTGTCTGCTCAGGAGAGGCTAGGATCTGGTGAGCAAGCACAGCTGTGGGTGGAAAAGAGCCAGAGGAAATTTCTCTTGCTTCTATGAACATCCTGAGCTCATTTCTAAAATATGGTACTTAGAAGTGGTTTTCTCATTATAAATAAGAATCAAGCATCTACCAGCCCCTATAACCAGTTCCCAATTTAGTGTCTTCAGTAGCACAAGTGAGGTCAACAAAAAGAAATCTTGTTTTTACCCTTACGTGATATAAATAGCTGTAAATTTGGCAATAATTAGGTGTTTAAAAATGCAGTATTGAGAGAGTCCAGCATCCCAGGTAGAGAAAATGGGAAGGTAGAAATTAGCTTTGAGAGTTCAAGCAACAGCAAGTAGGACAGTGTGGCTAAGAAGAATGAACAAGGGCACGAGTAGCAGCAGATGAGGGCAGGGAGGCGAGCAGGGGCCAGATCATGCATGGTCCTGGCTGTCTCATAAGGCGTTTGCATTTCTCTGAATGTGAGAGAAATCACTGTAACATTTTGAAGCAGAGAAATGTCATGATCTTATCAGGTTTTTAAAAGAGTCTTGCTGCTGAGTGAAAAACAGACCCTAGAAGGACAAGAATGGTGGCAGGAGGTGCCAGTTAGGAAGTTGCTGAGGTGGACCTGGATAGAGATCCCACTCATGTAGACCAGGATGCTAACAGAGCAGGAGGCTGGGATGTGGCTGGACTCAGGCTATACTGGGAAGGTGGAGCCAAGGAGTAGTGATAGATCTGTAGTGGGGTATGATGCTAAGATCATGGTAAAGAATGAACACAAGTGGTTTAACTTGAATTACTGGGTGAATAGTGGTGCCCATATGGAGATGGGAAAGCTAAGAACACAAGAGATTTGGAGGAGAGGGAGGAGGGATCAAGAATTTTAGGATAAAGAATGAGCATGTGCACTTGGAAAAAGCTCCCCAAGTGATCTGGATCCAACTTTCTCTTGCCCACACCATCTAATTGAGGACCAACCAGCTACTGGAACAGAGACTCTCACAGGGGTGCATTCCTAGTTAACTGAGAACATGACAGGTTGCTCAACTCCTACTCAAAGGGAGGGGAGAATCTTTACCTAGAGAGATGAGAGTCTCATAGTTTTGTTGCATTACATCATTGTAGAGGGCCTTCTGAGTGGGATCCAGTAACTCCCATTCTTCCTGGGAAAAATACATGGCCACTTCTTCAAATGTCAACAAGCTCTAAAGAAGAGAATCGGCTTCAGCTCAGTAACGGCCACTATAGAAACACTCCGTGGCTACCACATGGCACATGAAATGCATGCTAGGCCAGGCACTGAGGAATTAATTGCACATTATTTTTTAAAAGTGAGAATGTAGAAAGGAAGGAGGCAAGGGATCAGCCAATAGCCTGGGAAGTCCCAGTTCCCCAGGGAGAACATGTAGGTTAACACCCCTCTGAGCACCTGCTGGGCAGGGTGGCATGGGCAGTAGGGAAAGGCAGCCCTAAACAGCTGGGAAGCACAGCTCACCTGGGACTCAGGCAGGACGAGCTCAGGTGCCACTGTCCAGTCTTTGGTGTTTGTCTGCTCAGGAGAGGCTAGGATCTGGTGAGCAAGCACAGCTGTGGGTGGAAAAGAGCCAGAGGAAATTTCTCTTGCTTCTGTCTATGAACATCCTGAGCTCATTTCTAAAATACAAAAGATTCTGATTCTTTCAATAGAGATGAGGCACCTTTACAAGTGTGTGGGATATGCAGAAGTAGCTTTCTCATTGTAAGTAAGAATCAAGTGTCTACCAGCCCTACCCCTAGAACAGGTTCCCCAGTTTTCATAAGCACAATCAATAAAGAAAAACCTTTTTTTCCTCCTCTCATGATGTAAATTGTTCTGAGTTAGGGAAAAATTAAACATATTTGAAGATGAAGTACTCAGGGACTCCAGTGTACAGTAGAAGACGTAGTTTTTTTTTTAAACATTTTATTTTTCCTTTTTTTCCCCAAAGTCCCCCGGTACATAGTTGTGTATTTTTAATTGTGGGTCCTTCCAGTTGTGGCATGTGGGATGCCGCCTCAGCATGGCTTGATGAGCAGTGCCATGTACGCGCCCAGGATCTGAACCAGCAAAACCCCGGGCCACCGAAGCAGAGCACACAAACTTAACCACTCGGCCATGGGGCCAGCCCCCAGAGATGTAGTTTTTAATCTTTATTATTTTTTTCCTGGTACAGAATAGCATTCACATTTTGTCACTGACAGCACATTTCTGATCCCAATTCCTTCTGTATTTTACAAGGATGAGGTGGCCCTAACCCTCCCCACTTTACTAAGGAAGAGTTCATGATGTTATTACCAGGGTTCTGTGGTTTGGATATTTCTGTACTTTAGGCCAACCTCCAACTTCACCCACAGCTAGTCTATTCTACTACCATCAGGGAGTGGCACTGTAATCGCTAACATGGTTGCATTTGCAGATCCACAGAGATGGGCACCTAGAAAATGTTTACAACGTTCTGGCTGAACAAATGACTATCATAGCTCCCAGGAGAAGGAAATTATCATGAAGCTCCTTACCCCTCTTATATACAGGTTCAGTTTCTTTATGACTATTCTTGCTCAGGTATTCTTGTTGACATCGGTATGTATTCCAAAATTCTTCATCCTGGCACATGCCCATTGGCTGGGACTCTGCTGGCTTCAGCTTGAAGCCTGGGGCCTCTGCTGTTTCTCCCAAGAGCACTGCCTCTTTTCCCAGCTCATGAGCTGCAACCTGGAAATGATTCCCATCCTGGTTACCACAGAACTTACTTTTGGTTTAGGAGTTGGTGGAAGAGGGAGGAAAAAGCAGAGAGTCCTGATGGTGGGGATTGAGAGACACTAAAAGAAATGACAAAAAGACTTAAAAGATATTAGGCCACCACTTTCCACAAAGAACTATCTACAAAATCTGGGAAAATTAGAATGAAAAGAAAAAGGGTGTGGCTACTACCAGCCCTCCAAAACAGCAGCCCCACTCCTGTGCACAGTCCAGCCCAGACAACTAGTAGGGTTGCATAGGCCACCTGTTCTCATGCTGCCTCGACAGGCTTTCTCTCTTGACTTACATCCCTGCCTCAGTGATTTCCTGTCTTGTACTTCTCAAAAGATTGAGGAATTGAATAAAAAAGTTGTCCTGTCAACCAGATTTCTCCCATGGTTAGGGAAGGTTTTTCAGAGAATGGGGATGAAATGGAGAAAAAATGGGGAGGAAAAAGTCTGGCTCCAACCTACCTCCAAATGATTTTGAAACCAAACATAAGCCTGCACTGCACTCTTCACAGCAGGCCTGAAGCTGGTTATCTGCTGGCCCCTGCCCAAGGTCACACCTTGAATCCACCCCTCACCAGCACAGCCAAGGCCAACCACTAAGGAAGGGCAGTGGAGGCTCCTATCTATTATACAGAGGTCATTTTCCCTCTGTGTCTTTCTTCTCCTAGCTACTCTGTTAGGATTTCCAAATCTCTGTTTCCTTTTTCCCTTTGCACTTTTTCTCTTTCTTTGCTGTCTTCCCATAATTGTTTGGTTTTTCTCTTTTTTTTCTTCATTTTGGTCTCTATGTTTCCTCCCTTTTTCGAATCTGCCCCTTCTTCTCCAACTCTTATTGCCTTTTATGTGTTTCTAAGAACCTAAGACCCGTCTCCTTGGCCAAGCCAGACTAGGCTTATGATGCTCATTCACCTTGGCTCGAAAGAGGGCAAAAAGCAACTCTTACTCTAACAACAGGGAAGTCTCTGCTAGATCTCTGAAACCTGTGGACTAACTATTGCTATGGGTCTGCGGTTTCAGGTCCTGATTTAGATTTCCTAAGGAACAAAAGAACAGTGACCAAATTCATCTTCTTTCTCAATTAACTGCTCCCAACCCCAATACATCCACTTTTGCTCTAATTCATTCTACATAACAGAAATTTTTTTTCTCACCCCATTCCTTGATTGACCAGATTTCCCTTGCAAGTGTTCTACCAGGGCCACAGACTCCTCAGTGCTCTACAGATGATGCTTCTTTATCCCACTCTGGGGGTCCCTGTGGAGAATGGTCAGGAACTGCTTTAGCAGCAGCAGTTCCAAGATCTGCTCTTTTGAGTGGATCGCTGGCCTCAGTCACTGACAGCATAATTCCTGGCCCAAAGCCTCACGGGGTCCAGCTGCCTCATGAGAGTGGAAGCTCCAAAGCGCTGGCTAGAGCTCTTGGAACAAAAACTGTTCATTTGTGGGGTATATTTCTTACTCTGACTGGATCTCTCTGTAAGATGTCCCTTGGTTTCCCACAGAGCTCTGATTTGACAGTTCAAATATTCAGCCACTTCAGACCTACCGTCATCATTCTCCTCTAGGAACTGTTTTGCTTCTGTGTTGGGCACCCCACCAGCACCACCCTTGACAACTGAGGTCCAGTCTGGTCTGGAACAAAATCAATAAATGGATCTTCTTCCTAAGGCAATGAGGGCAGGAAAAAAGTGTATGTTAATAAGAAAGCCACAGGAACTTTACCACTTGCTACGATATTATGAGAGAAAAATGAACAGAAAAGGTCCTGTGTTGCCTTCCTTTAAAAATCAACTGCCAGGCCCTTAGTTTCCCTCTTTTCTTTCTATCATTCAATTGAAACACAGCACAGCTTATTGAAGACAAATGCCAACTGATGACTATGCCTTTACAAAAATAATAGTAATTTAGGAAAGGCTGGTGGTGAGAAAATTGGTACCCACTGGCTGCAGAGAGTTTCGGGATTATCCAAAGATTTAATTGATGTGCTTCCTATCCCATCTTACCCACGTGAAGGGCAGATTAGGAGAACATTCTGCTTTTCTCTAATATTTTAACATGTCATCCTAGTCTTGTGTCTTCAGTAAGGGAGTACAACTTCTATGACCCTTCATCCTCTTGTGAAGATGAAGGCTCCACTCTGTGGAACATTTGAATCGCCCTTCCATTGTATAATACTGGCAGGAGAGCTGACAATGACATCAGAGGAGAAGGAAAGTAATCAGGGAAAAAATAGCCTTACTCTGCTCAGAAAGCATCCCCAATTACGTAACCAGATGCCCGACATTCTTCTCTGGCACTTCTTTCCCAGGCGTATAAGGGGCACTATGCAGAAGATTGACACCTGTATGTTTATGTTTCTCTTCGCTTGACCTAGAAACCTTACCCCTGGCCTTGTTCACAAAACGTTCATCTAAATGTTGAGGCTCAAAACAGCAGAGAACGGGAGCGGGTGAGGATACGGTGACCCTTCCGCTGACTTTACATTTCTTCAACGGTCATTCAGACCTCTCAGCGAGGCTGACGAGAGCCTCCCTCGAAAGTCCTGAGGTGATCCAGCAGAAGCGGCAACGAAATCTGCGCAGGACGCCAAGGCAGTCGCAAACGGCCGGCTCCTTGTCGCCCACGCGGCCTCAGGCGGCACGGGGACACCTGCTATGCTTTTGCATCAGCAGAAGGCGGCCTCTGCGAGGCTGACCTGCCCCGTTCTCCCGCGGTAACAGCAGCCAGCCACGGAAACGCAGCGGAGGCGGGAAAGCGGCCGAGACGGCCCGCCCCGCCCCCGCCTGCGGACGGCCGACGGGCGCCCGGGAGCCCGGTGCGAGCGCGCGGTGGCCGAGCGGCTCCAGCCGCGGCGCTGGGCGCTGTGGGCGCAGAGGGCAGAGAGAGGGGCCGCCGGAAGCCCGCGGGTGGGCCTCGCCCCGGGCAGTCCCGCCGGAAACCTCACCGGGGAGGCAGCCCGGCCCGGACACGCCGCCGCCCGCGGAAAATGGCTGCCTCGCCCCTTCCGCCCTGCAGCGGCGGCGACTCTCAGGGTCTCCGGGGCCGACGCCGAGGGGGAAGCGGCTTCTTGTTACCTCAGACAGCTCGGCTTCGTGGACGCCGCTCCCTCGGCCCCGGGCTCCACTGCAAGTCGCCGCCCTTCCGGCGCCGCCCTGAGGAGCGCCGCTCTCCGCCCCGCACCACTCCCAGGCGGGGCCGGCGAGGCGCGCGCGGCCCGGCGAGCGAAACCCAGGGCTCGGAGACGCAAGCCTGGCTCCACCGCTACCGCTTCCCGAACCCCAGTTCACCGGTACCCGCCCCCTCCCGCGCCCCAGCCGGAAGCGGAAGTGACGCACATTCGGGGCGGGGCTCTGTGCAGCCTGCCTGCGTCTGCGAGTGCGCGGTTAAAGGCCTCGCCCTAGGGAGCGGCTTCCTGTCCCGGTTTAGCCCTGGCGGCAGGAAAGAGTTAAAGCCATCGAGTCTGTAGGGCCACCGAGGCCTAGACGGCCCAGCGCGCGGCTCGGCGTGTGGGTGTCGCCGTCTCGCGTCCGTGTTGTTCCTGCGTCGCTTCAGGCGGCCGGCGGCGCCTGGTAGCCGGGAGGGAGTATTTATAAGAATCGGAGTATTTCGGGTTGTCGGTGCTCTCCTAATTAGGGATGTTTTTGTAGTGGCAGCCTATACCCGTCAAGTGATTCTTTACTAAGTCGGCTACGTGTAGCTAGAGTTACAGAGTCTATAGGACAGTGTCTTTGAGTGAGGCAATCTGGCAAAAGGACTGAGGCAATGTGACCAATACCAGTAACACGAGGTGGGACAAGGTCAGACGTGAGCTGAATGCTGCGGAAATTCCAAGGGAATGCAAGTTGACTTTTGGTTGGGGAAAATTATAGAAGACCTTGAGACACGCCCAGAGCAGGGGCTGGGGCCATATTCCCGGCAGAGGAAAAGGTAAGAGCAGAGCAAAGCCTTGAAAGCTGGACAGATGAGAGTGTGAGAAAATCTGTAGTACGTTTTTCTAATGTAATTGGGCTACACATTCGGAAAAAGAGTGAAAGTTAGAAAATAAGTTCACGTGGACCTCTGATGGAACGTTTTGAATGGGACTGAAGAGACTGCATTGAATAAAGTAAATCTTGGAGCATCGTTTGAGGGTTTTGGAGGGAGCTTCTTTCCAGGTCCGTTCATCTGGAGGTAAGTTTAAGGTGGGAATGAAATGGGAGACCGTTCCCAGGCCATTATACTGTTTTTGCTGTTAGATAGACGGGTGTTACGCTCCTCTGAAGTCTAGATCTTGATCCTTTTTGAGTGAAAGGAAAGGATTAAACAAAGGCAATAAGGAGCATCTGCCTAAGTCACTTGAATATGTTTAAAAGCAGGTTCATTTCCCTAGAATCTCAGTCAGGTTGGAACTTAGTTTCTTCAAAAGCAAGTCTTGTCTCCAGTCTGTCAGAAGCAGTGGACAGTAATGCTCTTAGCATTGAGATCCTCATCGTCTGGCCCAAGGCTGAGCATATAATTGGAACTTATTACACTGAATCAATGAAGTTCTGCCAGCAGTGTCCTTGGATGTCATTGGCAGGCTTGATTCATAACATGGGTAGGGTGTTGCTTGTGGAAGATGGGAGACGTGTGAAAGGAAGGAAATCAAGGCGCTAATGGTGAATAGTAAATGAGAGCCACTGATGACATCCATTGCTTGAAGTTTGGTGCCATAGTTCCTTACCCTTGCTGGGGAGCCCACAAACATCCCCTGAGTCTTTCCTTTTGGTTTCACCTTCCCCTGCTTGTGCCCTAGTTAAGAAATGATGAATGTACAGTTGAGAAGCAATGAAAGCAAAAGATGAGACACCACACAACTTCCATAGTGGGCTGAATGTTTTTGCTAGGTGACTGGCTGAATTTAATGGTACTACTATTGGCTAGGAAATACCCTTGTTTTTTTCTTTTTTCATCTATAATAGTTATCGCTTAGTAATTGCCTTAGTTATAGCTGGGTCTTGTAGAAAGTTGCCTGATCTTAGGCTGTTATTGCCTTTGCATCGTTTTAACTATCATATTTTTTCATGATCCTCATAGTGCCCCATAAATGAGTTGGAGATCAAGACCGGGGTGAGGGAGCAGCGTCCAAAAAATGCCAAGGAAGCTGTGGCTGTGGTTGAGAATGTACAGAGAGTGCCTGGGCAACAGGTGAGAAAAGGCAGAATCTCATGGTTTTGTTTATGAAGAAGTGGGGGTGAGAAGCACAGGAATCCAATTACTGGAGAGGCGCTCTGTTCAGAAATGCACAGTAGCCCTCTGCCACCCACCAGAAAGTTTTAGCTATCTTGGGTTGCTCCTATGTCCTTAGTCTATGGAATAATTTCTCATTTGCTGACATACATTAGACATTCATATATTCAGTGAATGTTTAGAGTCCATAATTAAAGTGGTAAAAACACTCAGAAAAGTTCTCCAAAACACAGCCAGGTGAAGGGCAGCTATCCCCAAATCAGGAAAATTAGAAATGTTGGTGAGTTAACATCTAATCTCTCTTGCTAGAAGGTTCCTTGAGGGCAAGAGTGCTATGTGTTGTACACTAAATCAAGTTTTATTAGAGCCAGTACTTGTTGACCAGCGTGGGACATGATGAGTTTCACAAAATATCTGCTTGTAGCGGTGATGGGGCAGGGCCTCTCCAAGGGAACATTTGAGCTGAGATGTCAAGGAAAAGAAGGAGCCAGTTGTGTCAAGAGCTGGGAAGAGAGTACTCCAGGCAGAGGGCACGCAACACTCCAAGAGCCTCAGGTGGGGGTGGACTTGGCATGTTTGAGAAGGAAGTGGGGACTTGTGGCTGGAGCTTCAGGATGGAGGAGAAGAGTGGTGTGAGAGGTGAGAGGAGGGCAGAGGCCACCTTATGCTGGGCCTTTCAGGCTGCAAAGAGGAGTTTGGCTTTTATTCTGCGTGGAGTGGGGGCCATTGAAGAGTGTTAACAGAGATGGATGTGATCTTACATTTTAAAAAGATCTACTGGATTCCTTGTAGGGAGAAACTGGGTTGGAGGATCTAGCAGCAGAGAAGATGCGGATAAGAGGCAATGACAGCAGTCCAGTCCAGACAGAGGATGGTGTCTTGGACCAGGCTGGAGGGTGTGGAGAGGGAGAGAAGAGGACTGATGCAAGGGATCTTTTGAAGGTAGAACTGGCTGGACTTGGTAATGCATTGGATTAGGGGGGAGAGAAAATGGCAGTAGTGCTGAGATCACAGGAGCTCTCTCATGTGAAAGCTGATGCTCTCATTTCCAACACATGTACACCACTTTAGCCCTTCTGGTATGTCAAGGTCTATGCTAAGAGCTTTCATGTAAATGATCTTAATCACTTGAGACCAAATTCTATTCATGTTTATTTTATTACAGTGGCTCTGAGAATATTTTTCTTCTGCTTCGTTATGTCTCATGGCACTTTTTAATGCCACTCTTAGGGGTTGTAGGTCCAGCTTAGGCAGGAATTTGTACTGACAGATAATAGGGTCTGTTCTCAGGTCCTGGATTCCGGGAAAGACTTGAGTGCTCATCGAGGAGACGGCCCCTTTAGGAGGAGCCAGAGAATCACTGAGATCCCACCTGATCCAGAGGCTTCATCCAGAGGAACGGACTTTGACCGGGCCACGGAGCTCATGCCAAAGACCATGGGAACACTCAGAAGGTAAGCAGAGGCCTCTGCCCTCACCTGAGGTGGGGGAAGAACAATCCTCTATTGGAAATGCAAGTCTGAGCGTGAGTCTGCCCCTGGGCTCCAGATGAAATGCCTTTGAAATAGATCCAAAAGACAAGATTTCAAATTTCAGTTGATGGTAACAGCACTTGAAATAGTCTTAGAGATCATTTATGTGTTAGCCTAATCCTCTTTTATTTCAGTTTAATTCTATTCCTTCTGAATCAGGCGTATTAAAGGGAGCATGTTTACCTTCACCTTCTGCGTAGCAGTTCTTCATATACCTAAAGACATTAAACTCCTTTTCCTATCCAGCTTACTTTCTTCCACAATAGATTTCTCCTATTATTTTTCTTTTCTTCCAAAGCTGTATTTGTTATTTTTACTGATCTTAATTATTTTGGAAAAATTTTTTTAACTAAAAAAATTTTTTTTAATTGAGATGAATTTCACATAATATAAAATTAGCCATTTTCAAGTGAATGATTCACTTGCATTTAGTACATTCACAGTGTTGTACAGTCACCACCTCTATCTAATTCCAAAACATTTTCACCCTCCCAAAAGGAAACCGTGTACCCATTAATCAGTTGCTCTTTATTCTCTCTGGATTTACCTCTTTGGGACATTTCATGGAAATGGAATGCTACAGTATGTGACCTTTCATGTCTGGTCTCTCATTTAGTGTGTTTGAAGCGTGTATCAGCACTTCCTTCCTTTTTATGGCTGCCTAATACTCCATTGCATGGCCAGACGAAGGCTCCATCTTTAGAGGTCTCTTTCTGTGAAGCACTTTGGCTGCATACTTTGGAGGTACTCTAAAGGCCACTGCTGCCTTTTCTGCTTAATTGAAAGCTGCCACTACAGGTTACTAAGTAATTTTTAAAAGGCAGCTCATGTTTATATAACTCAAATCCTGGAGGAAAACATTGTGTTTTCATGCTGTTTAAACTGGCAAGCTTCTGTTTATGAATGGAAAATAGTGTAAGAGTTGTATTTGCTTTTGTATTTTTGTATTTATTTTTGGTGAGGAAGATTGGCTCTGAGCTAATATCCATTGTCAGTCTTCCTCTTTTTGCCTGAGGAAGATTGTCCCTGAGTTAACATCTGTGCTAATCTTCCTCTATTTTGTATGTGGGACACTGCCACACTGTGGGCTTGATGAATGGTGTGTGGGTCTATGCCTGGGATCCAAACCCGCAAACCCTGGGTTGCCAAAGCAGAGCATGTGAACTTAACTACTATGCCACCAGGCTTACCCCACTTGTGTATTTTTTAAGTGAAGTGAATACTCTATCAGGATCTTTGTAAACTTTACCACTTTAGCATTTATTTCCTTTTAATCCTTGGGAACATCTGTGCTCTGTGGTGTGTGATTTCTGAGGCTTTGGGGTCTGTGAGTAAAGAGGGGCAGGATTCACTGTGTTCCAGTTCTTGTCCCCTCTGGTCACTGTGCCGATGGGCTGCTCAAATCCGGAGTGTTGTAATCTCCCCAGGGGTCATAGAACTCTGAATATCCTCTGAAGTTCATCAAAATGAACCATTTCCTTTGTAGAATTATTGAAGGTGGGATCTGGGAAAGAATATATTATTTTAGTCTGAAGAAAAATAAAAGGTTTGAGTTACTGTGCTATTTTTAAGAGTACTATGTTTATCCTGGGTGGTGGGGTATAAGAGATTCTCTCTCATTATTCTGTTAAAACATGTTTTTCCTATAATGTGTACTTACTTCTTTAGCATGAAAACTTTTTTTTTAAGCTATTATGCCAAGAATGATTTGGTGAAAGAAACTTCTAAACACACAGAGAGGGCATTGGCTATGACAGTGATCCTCAAACTTGAGTCTGCTACAGACTCATCTTGGGGGTGTGTTCAGGTTCCCAGGCCTCACCCCAAGCATTTCTGATTCAGAAGATCTGAGGTGGGGCCCAGGAATATGCATCTCTGAAGGGTTCCCAGATGCTGCTCATGCTGCTGGCCCGAGGACTGCATTCAGAACCTCTTCTCTGTGGCTGTTGTGTGGAAGCTGCCCTCTAACAGTGGCTCTTTCTCCCCCACCCTGGCCTACTCTACAGGCTTCCAGGAACCATCCCCAGAAGAGGGGTCTTTGAGACCAGGAAACAGGTGCTCTGCTTTGGATAGGAGGGGATCAGGTGAGCTGTGGTCTGCACCTTTTTTCTCTTGAAGTTCTCATTTCACCTTGTACTCACTCTCACCTTAAAACTCCTTCTTTTCCAGAGATGTTAGAAAGGGTTTTTAGGTGGTCCATTGAGGTTCTCTTGGCTTGTTTTCTTTCTTTCTTTCTTTCTTTTTGAGGAAGATTAGCCCTGAGCTAACATCTGCCACCAATCCTCCTCATTTTGCTGAGGAAGACTGGCCCTGAGCTAACATCTGTGCCCATCTTCCTCTACTTTATGTATGGGACGTCTGCCACAGGATGGCTCGACAAGTGTTGCCATGTAGTCACCCAGGATCCAAACTGGCAAACCCCAGGCTGCCGAAGCAGGATGTGTGAACTTAACCACTGCAGCACTGGGCAGGCCCCTCTTGGTTTGTTTTCTTATTTTGTCTACTCTGCCGTCATCACATGGCTCCTTACTCACCCTAATCCTTCCCTCAGAGGCCTGACCTCCCTCTGCCTTGCTTTGCTCCTGATCTCATGACTGTGTTCCTGTCTCTGCCCCACCCCAGGCTAGCAGGGTGATTTCTTATCAGTAGCAGCAGACCCCGGTGTTGTTACAGCGACCCAGTCATGGGTTGTGAGGACAGTGCAGTATCCCTGTGTTAGGAAGGACAGAGGCACTGTGGCCCTGCACAGAGGGCCCTCTACGGGGGTGTTACATGGAAGAATGACAGAAACGTCTCGCTGGGTAAGGATCTGCATTCCCTTTAGGTCCAGAATGGATGTGTTCAGTTGTTCAGAGAAGACTGAAAGAACCTGAGAAGGAAGGAGACACACAGACAGTAGGGAGCCTGTTAGGTAGAGGGAAAGAAGGAAGAAACAGGAAAATATAGAAAGTAAACAAGAGACACAGAGATAGGAAGACACAGACAGAGACTGTGACAGAGACAGAGAGACAAAGAGAGAAACTGAAAAAAAAGGAAAGCAAGAGAGGGCTCATGACAGGGATGGATAGCATGTGTGACAAGGAGCAAGAACAAGGGAGGGGACATGAGACTGAAAGCAGTGGGGACAGAGAGTGTGGGGAGGTCAAGGAAAAGGGGGAGGGGAGACAGAGAGACAGCAAGAGAAACAGCACAGGAGACAGACAGTAGTCTTAGACTGTGGGAGAAACAGATGAGAGATGAATGAACGTGTGCTCACACACACAGCTGTGCTATGTCCTGAGCGGCAGAGGAGAGTAAAAACCAGAACAACCTGGCTGTGACAGTCTACTTCTGTGCCCAGGCCCTTCAGGAGGCACCAAGAGCCCTTTTGCAGGGTCTCAGGACTGATCTCTTGCCTTCCTCAAATCAGTTCTGTCCCACATGGGCTGTTCCTCCTCAGAGCAGCCTCCCTGACCATCAGATTCAGAGACACGTGCTCTGCAGCTGGCTTGGGCTTTGATGTCTCCTCCCTGCTTCTTCACATGTAGGGTTTCCCATTCATGGTCTGAATATCATCTTGGGGCTGGATCAAATAGAACACTGGGGACCCCCCTCCCCACCATGGCTGCAGAGCAAGGAAAAGTTGTAAGAGTTCCACAAGTGAGACTGGAGTAGAAGCCCATGAAACACCAGCAAAGGGGGAATTAAAAATCAAGGTAACACAAAAACAGCTGGCCTTGGTGGACCGGAAAGTGGCAGGTGCGCCCTGGGCTGCTGAGAAAGCCAGGACTTTCCTGTCTGTTCTGAGTGAGCCTTGGTTTTATGAGAAACTCCAGGTACACCAGCAAAGCAGCCAGCTATGTGGGGAACACTGAGTTCTTGTGTATAAGGCTTCTACCAGACTCAGGAGCACTGTTGAACCAAGTTCAGAAGCCTCCAGGCCAGTTACTGTCGAGGCTTACAGGGCTCCTCCAGTTCCCCTAGGAGTTTGGCACATGGGGCTGTTGAGACCAAAGGGCCAAGTCAAGGCCCATGGAGATGGAAAAACGTGGGGTATGGGAACACACTGGAGGGCTCAGATAGTACCCATACAACAGCAAGCAGCCACTCCAGGAAGGTGGGAGGCCTCACACTTACTCCTGCTCCAGAGCCACCTGGGTGAGGACTGCTCTACACGTCTCCCCTGGTACTGATCACCTATAAGCAAACCATTCCCCAGCAAGGGGCCTTCTCTTCCAGCTCTGAATTGAAGATGGTTCCTGTTCCTCACTGTAGGGGATATGCTGAGATAAAGGCTATAGTGGATTCCAGTGTGAAGCCACTCATTTGGCCACATGCAGGTTACATGGAGGGAAAAGTAGTACCTAAACCTTTATGTTGTCTGGGTAACTCAGGGAATTTTCTTTTGAGTTTTGAAATTTGAAAGCCAAAACCAGGTGTGTTTCTGTCAACAATGTAGCGAATTGTCTGAGTAGGTGCTATATCTAGATTTTTTTACTAGAACATAAAAGAATGAAGATGATGTTAGCCTGAGGAATGACTACTATGTTCTCTATGGAAGATGGGTGATGTCCTGGCAGGTGCCACTGTGTGCATTCAGAAGGCTGTCATTTTAGTCTAGGAATCAGGTTCCATTGCAGCTGTCGGGCTAATGGAGCAGAGTAAGAGTCATCAAAAAGAGTGCAGGGGCAGAGGGTGAGTTGCATTTTTTGTTGGAGTTGTCAGAGTAGTCCTCATTGAGAGAATGACATTGGAACAAAGACTTGAAGGAGGAACAGGAACGAGCCATGTGGCTCTCTGGGTGAAGAGTATAACGCAGAGGGAACAGCCAGTGGAAAAGCTCTGAGGCTGGAGCAAGTCTGGGCAAGGAGGCCAGTGTGACTAGAGCAGATTGAGAGCACGAGAACAATAAACAAGATCAGAGTCATATCACTTAGGGGAGTGCTATTGAAAGTGACATGAACTGAAATGGAGAGCAAGCATTTAGAAACTTATAGCAATTTGACATTGCTGCACTATCCAACTGCATGTTTATTGTATTTTTAAAGACAATCAAAAAACCTGGTTCTTTACAGATAATTTGAGAAGTACTATATTCAGGCCTTCTGGCCTTACCTATAGAACTCTGTAAGGACTTTGACTTTTCTGAGTGAAATGGGGTGGCTTTGGAAGGTTTCTGAGCAGAGGAGTAATAGTTTCAAAACGATCCCTTTGAGTATTTCAATTTATTTGGCCCTTTACCTAAACATTTGTTTGTTTCTCCTTCTTGTTACAGAGACTTATATTGGACTGTGCCTAATTGAAGGCAGGATCCATGTCCTATTGATATTTGCATTTCTCAGAAAGTGGCATGGTAGACACTCATACATGTTAGTTGAATTGAATGAAGGATAGGGGCCCACTTTGAGTTCTGGGTCAAGAATAGAATGTAGGAGGTCAAGAGTGGAACCAAGAAGACCGTGTAGCAGGCCATGGCAGCAATCCAGGCTTGAGATGATGGCTTAGAGCAGAGTGGATGAGAGGGGGTAATGAGAAGGGGCTGTGTGCCCTTGAGAGCATCATGACCGGATGTTATCAGAACGTCCTTGTTGGGACAGCTCTAGACAAATGAGCCCTCAGTGACTGGCCCAGATGGGCACCCCTTTGAGGAATGTGTGGTGTGTTCTGAAACAACAGCCAGCCTGTTTGCAGTTTCCAGACGTTTACTCCTTACTCTCACCTTGTCCTAGTTAAGTGCTGTAAGTTAGTTCCTTATATCTACATAGATGACAGGAGAGATAAACAGTCAGGGATGGGTCAGATCAGGAGGGACTTGGGCATCACAGGTGGCAGTAGGCAGAAGTATCCTATAACTAGTTCTTCTCTCCTCTAACTCTTTGCTTCCCTCCAAGTCTCCCATGTTCACCATGTCCTCTTATGCAGCCACAGGCCCTCAGGGATCCCCACAACTGTGGAGCCATGTGAGCACGACCCTTGTGAGTCATATCTCAGGGGAAATGAGTGGGATTCAGGATAAAGGGAAATAAACAGGGCAGCTTTAGAAAATACTCTGCAACTCTTTCTCAGCTGAAGAAGATTTCTTTTCTAGTATACTGATAGCTTTTGTTTTAGGAAAAAGCCCACGGCGAGACATGAATGAGAGTAGCCAGTTGTGGCATAGTTTGACAAACTAGGATTTAAGTTCTTGGGCTACTAAAACCCTGCATTGTGGTATCTGGTCCTCTTTAATCTGATCACTGTGTTTCTTGTTCCCTGGCAGCAGGTGTGCACTGGGGCTATGAAGAGACCATGACAGTCCTGGCCATTCTCAGTAATTCTTTTATGAAAAACTCCAGACTCATCAGCAGAACATCCAGATCTATAGGGCCATGGCAGAACAACTGCAGGAGCAGGGCTTTCTGCAGACCCCAGAGCAGTGTCTCACCAAGTTCAAAAACCTACAGTCATGTTACTTCAAAGTGAGGAGAGGCCACATGCCTGAGCCTTGTATCTTTCATGAGGAAATGGATGTCCTTTCAAGCTCCTGGGCCTCTGTAGCAACTGTTACAAGGCCAAGAGGGAAGAGATATGGATGCTGGAGAGTTGAGTCAGCAGAACAAGGAGCCCACAGAGGTTGGAGAAGTTACCACTGTGGATGGTGCTGCTGGGGAGGAAAAGCACTTCAGGGATCCTGGCCAGGAAGTTAGCAGACTTGACCTGTCACTCCTGTTACCCAACAGACTTGGTAAGACTCTTGGCTCTGGCAGTCAGAGGATGGAAAGTCCACTTAGAGACCATTAGCCTGGCAATGAAGAGAGAGCCATTTCTGCTTCTGGACTTGCCATCATCTTTCTGTTGAGCTTATACAGACCAGGGAGTCTTGGTTTTCATGGTGTTTAAAAATTGTTTCTCTTACACTTTGGACTCCAATTTTGCATTTGCCAGACTGTTCCACAGAGTCCATGTCACTTTTTCCCATGGAGTTCCAATTACCTTTCTTCCTTAGATTGCCAGTTAGTCCTCCAGCCCACACTCTCTCTCCTTCCCTCTTTCTCCAGCACTGATCCTCTTTTCATGACCCAAGCCCACACTTGCTTCCTTTTCAGCAACTTGCTTTATGTGTGAGCTGGCCACTCAGGGTGGTGTTTTGTTTTTCTGTTCACAGAAGCTAGGCCATTCAAGAATTCAGAATACACATATACACAGATTGACAGATGATACCGAACTTGACTGTTTGCCTGAGTTTTATCATTGTGTAAGGTCATCCAAAAGGAAATAAAATACGAGGAAAGTTGGTGGAGTTTACGGTATATTTACCTGTGACCACAAATTTCGACCTTAAACATGCTACAATTGGAGAGAGAAACATAGGCTTTTAATTAGCAGAAGACTGAATCACGTGAAAAATTTCAGTTAGGTATTTCTTCTTTATGTAGTTTATGTAACTCTTTTCTCATTCAATTTTTTTCCCCTTCTTTCCAGTACATTGTATTTCTTTTCTTTCAGATTTTGAGATCAAGTATGGGATTAAAAATGAGAATGTGAAATGGGATGACTCAGAGGAAGCAGAAATGAACAAGGCCCAGTGGAGAAAGTCTAGTGAAACTTTTTGGTACTCTGAGCTAACAAGAGGCTGGAAGGATGAGCCAAAGTCAGGCAGGCAACATAGATGTTCTCCAGGTGAGAGTGAGGAGAAACCCCCATCCCAGGAGAGGATGAGTCACCAGAGACTTCATACTGGGAGGAAGGCCTGTGGATATCTCCTGTGTGGGAGGAAGTGCTCTCAGAGTTCTCCCTCACCATCAGCCGGCTCCAGAACTGGAAGAAGCTTCTTGTATTGTTACAAATGTGGGAAAAGCTTTAGCCAAGGTTCTTATCTTGTTTGTCATCAGAGAATCCACACAGGAGAGAAGCCTCACAAGTGCAGTGAATGTGGGAAGGGCTTTAGTGAGCACTCCACCCTCACAACTCACCTAAGAACTCACACCGGGGAGAGACCCTACCAGTGTGGAGAATGTGGGAAAAGCTTCAGCCAGAGCTCCAGCCTCATTGTCCACCAGAGGACCCACACTGGGGAGAAGCCCGATCAGTGCCCTGTCTCTGGAAAGAGATTCAACAACAGTTCCCGGTTTAGCAGCCACCACCCAGTCCATCCTGGGGAGAGCCCATACGATTGTGAGCAGTGTGGGAAAAGCTTCAACAACAGCTCCCACTTCAGGGCCCGCCAGAAAACGCACACTGGGGAAAAGACTTACAGGTGCTGTCAGTGTGCAAAAAGCTTCACGAAGAACTCTGCCCTCATACGCCATCAGGGGGTACATAAATGAGATACCCACATCACAGGAAGGAGGAGAGATGCCATGAGTGTGTAGGAAACCTGACAGATCAATTCCTTAGGTCAACATATGTTATTTAGAGCTTCCTTCTGCTTATGGAGAGTTCTACCAGCCAATCCCTGGCTTAGCAGTAGAGTTACTGACAACCAGTTAAGCACTTCAGAACCATGTCCAGGAATAGGAATCATCATAAGAATGGTAAACTCTTTCTAGCTCTGCCTATGACTCCAGAGTATTCTCTCACTGTGGACTTCAATTTTGCTTTGAAGGGAAGAAGGCTGTAGAATCTGTAAGTCCTGCCAGGAAACCAGGGTATCTTTGTTCTGAACAGAGAATGGGTGGCTAGTGGCCAAAGAGGTGTTTCTGGGCCATGCCTGAGAAGAAATTCTTCCTGCTCATGGGGAACACATCTAGAAGTTGATAGCTTGGGTCTATTTTAAACCAATAATGGACATCTAGGCACCTGCTGTTAGGTACTACTGCTAACTTCAGAGCATGTCACTACTCTAATCCAGCCACCACCAAGGGGAACAAAGGAAAGGAAGGATAGGTTAAGCCAGTGGGTTATACTAAATCTAAGTGACTTAATCTTAGAGCAAGCAGAACATCTAGGTAAACTTTGTAAGATTCCTCATCTTACTATCACCCCCATTTATAGTAAAAAGTTTCTACAGGTTTAAACATCATAAAGATAAAGGTGTTTCTTCCTCCACTTCCCTGGCCTTTGGTTGTAATTTTCTCCCTTAGAAACATTATACTCATGCAGAAGCCTCCAGGATCCTGAAGAGCATCTAAGTGAAGAACCTGCTTCAGTGCAGTAAGAAATGCAGAGAAGGAATAAAGGGCAGGAAATGGGGAGAGGAGGAATAGCACTGGGATCAGAAGGGTTTGAGCCATTACTGAGAAGGGAGATCACAAGAGTAAGGAAAATACAATGGCTGCAGGAGGCTCTGACTGCAGATAAAAGGAAGGGTGGGTGTGAGAAGCACTAAGAACCAAATTTAAAACTTACTGATCCAGAACAAGGCATAGATATTTAAGCTTTTGTGAAATCACTATGGAGAGAAAGTGGTAAAAGGTGTGTATGTTGTCCATGGTTGTTGGCCTGTGCATGCAGGATGTTAGTACCTTAAGTAAGATGTGGTAAAAAGTAAGTGTCACAGTTTCTGCTTGAGCCTTTTTGAGGAATTAAATATGAGCAAAGGAGAATGTACATTCTACCTCAGCCAAAGTTTTTTAAAAACTTTTGGGGAAGAAGGATAAGCAAAGGCAGGACATAAGAATATACTTCAGTGAGCCTTGCCTGGGCCACTCCACATTCCCCTGCATACACAGTCCTGGAGCATGGCCCTAGGACAAGCTATGCAGGATAGTTCCAGAGTCATATGCTTACCACTGCTCTACACAGAGGGAAGAATAACATCTTCGAAAAGCCTGGGCAAAGGCAGAGAGGTGGGCTTGAATGTGACCTGTCTGGATCAGCCCGACATCACTGGAGATTCATGGTGGGGAAAAGGGAGACAGCCTGGGGGTGGATTGATTACTGAAGGGCTTTGGATACCAATTCACATAAGTTGGATTTGATAGAGGAGGAAAGCTAGTGAAAGTCAATGGAAGTGTAAGGAAGTAGGGGTACTCAAAGACGCCTCACCGGCAGGTTCCTCCCACTCCTGGGTCGGCTGGGGCTGGGGCCGGAGCGTGGGATGCAACTGTTGAACTCCTTGCATTTTTGGGTGGCCTCCACCCTCCAGGCTTTATCCTTTAGTCCACTTTATCCTCTTTATCCACTTTAGTCCGCTTTATCCTCTAGTCCACTAGGCAGGAAAAGGAACACAGAGTACTAGAATTCCCAACTTTGCCTGTCAGCTAAGCTGTAGAATGCACTTGTGCATTCATAAAGGAAATATTTGATTGCTTATAATTTACCCAGTGTTGTAGTAGGAGCCAAACACAAAGCAGTGAACTAAGTAGACACTGTCTTCCAAAACCAGTCTCATTGGATCCCTCAGAGGTACAGGTTACCCCTGCTATCTGAAAATTCACTTTACAGCACTTCACTTTTACGAAAGACCTTTTACTAACCAAAAGAAATCCGAAGATTTTCACTTCTATGAAAGAAGGCAAAAAGCAAAAACAGTGTTCAGTGTTTGTTTTGCAGCGAGCCATTATAGTGGCTAAGCAGTCAAACATATGGTCGCAACTCAAGCCTGAAAGATCAGGCACAGCGGACTACTAACCTTGCCCTTCGACTGGAGGCAAGCAGATGTAGAAGGTGTAGATGTTGGTGACCTGCCTGGACTGATGGATTCAGACAGTGACGGGATGTTAACAGATAACCCTCTTCCTCTCTCTCCTACACCCTGGGCTCCTGTACCTCCCACCACTTCAACCTCTGACGGCTCAGCCTAACACACCACCATCACCACCACCACCTCTCAGCCTTCCAGTGTGCTCACACTCTTCCCGATTCTGGTAAGTGAAACTACACTGTACGTACATTATTTCTATTTTATACAGGCTGTGTATTTATCATATCCTTCCTGCTTTCACTATGTTAGTATGTGAGGTTTTATGTGTTATTTGTATGATTTGGTAGGTTATTTTTTGGATCTGGGAACGCTCAAAAATTGTTCTCATATAAACTATTGGTAATTGCTTCTTTGCTTTACACTGCCTTGGCTTACGAAAGGGTTCATTGCAACACTCTACTTTAGGGTAGTGGGGAAAACCTGTACCAGCACCAGTCGGGCAGCAACCCCCAGGATCCGAGTCCCAGATCTTCAGGACCTCTCTTCCAAGCTTCCAAATTATGACAAACACAACATCTTCCCTATGCACCCCTAACCCCACATGTGGTAGCTACTTCCTACAGTTGCTATCTCTGTTACCTTAGTGTCTATCTCCCATTGTCTAATGCAGCGTCATCACCACACTAACCACTTGAGAAGGAATTTGATGTGGGTACACAAAAGGTAACACCGTCAAGTCTATAGATTTCCTCTGATGTGTAACAGTACCCTCCTGGTTTGGACGCCCTCCAGACGTCCATTAAAAGCCAGTTAGTTTTGCCTGTAACTTAAATACTTGGGCCCTCCATGTAGTTTCTATACCTCCGTTTCTCACTGAAACATTTTAACTAACTGATAGAATTCTTCAATTGACACTATTCCTTTTTCCCAAGGATTCCTAACCACTTACCACAGACTGGATCAGATATGCTCACAACCCAGAGAAGCAGGGCAAAGCCTACACATTGTCATCCTCGTCACACACCTCTTGTGGATTCTCAGCCTAAGCTGGTGGATGCATGGTCACAGCCAAAACAAGAGCTGGGCCCGTCAAGCCTATTTAGCTCACTTTCCTTCCCTCTTGCCACCTCTTCTATGCCTCTCCTGTGAGGGGACCGGCTTACCAGTCATTTTAGGAATTGCCCAGGACTTCTGGGATCCTGGACTCGAGTGTACCCATATCATCGCTCACTTTCTCACATGTGAATGCTCGCTTTTACCATTATCAATTCCAGACTCCGTGCAGTCCTGCTGCTCATCCTTGGCTTGACTTCAGGGTAGAGACAAAGAGAAGGACTGAGCGTTCTTTACCTGCGGAGAACACAGGACTCTAGCAACTACCCTCACAGTTCCCTGTGGTAGGGCAGTTAGCCTGAAAGATTTTGAACTTGGTGCCGCCCTGCTCTGGCATCTGGAGGAAGCTGTGCTCCCGAAGCTGCTCAGGCATTCCCCATACACTTGGACATTCTAGTGGCACCTCGGGAGTCTTGCATAAATTTTGGATTTACTGAGAATGGGAAGTAAAGTCTGGGTTTCCTGGCAGCCACACCACATACCTGCTATAATGGGTTAAGTGACTTGCGTAGTGACTAAAGTTAAGGAGTTGGATTTTGAACGTGGGTCAAGTCAATTTCAAAGCCTTTAATTCCTTCAGTCTGTCGTTCTCAACACTCTTTCTGACTAACGATTTCTGTGAAAGCTTGGAACACAGACCTTATACTGCATGTGACTACCATCAGGGTAGTCTCGTGGCAGGGGCCGCATGTCCTGCGTCTTCAGGAGGACCCAGGTACAGCTTAGGCTTCATGTCACACTCATAACTAGCAACTATCTCAAAGGCATGCTGTTGTACCTGGCACTAGATTAAAACCTAGTTATTACATAATATAGATTAGACATGCCCCCTAAGAAGCTTTTACGGCCTAAAGATAGAAAAGGCAAAAAGAGACCCATTACAAAGAAAGAAAGGAGAATCGTCAGAGATCTCATTTGTTATAGAGGATGGTCACACAGTCCCCCTTACCATCGAGGCGTTATCCATCAGAGGCCATCAGTGATGAGCCATCAAAGCACTGTCCTTTGGAATCTCCAGTTGGATTTTTGTTACAAATCAAGACTTCACACCCAGATACAGGACACAGTGGGAGTAAGCTGGCATGTCAGATGTAGAATTAGTGTACTCTCTGCTGCTCCTGGGTTTGGCCAAGCACATAGTGGGGCCTCATCCATTCATCCAGACTCTCCCTTCCCCTCTCAGTTTGGCTATTTAGGCTGTGCCAGATAACTGGCCATGGATCATTCCATCTGTATTTTCATTTTCCTCAATGGTCAAGCCACCTGACATGTCTAAATGGGATCTTCTCTCTGGAGATTTTCACCCCTCTGGTAGTATCTTCTGATTCAGGATCACCCTGTCCAGGCTGGATTAGCTCACACATACTCATTCAGAAAACTTCCTTATCAGTCTAAGATCAGGCTCTCTTCCTTTGGTGGCAGTAGGTCACCATGAATGCCCCAAATATAGACCAGCTTCATACATGACCCTTGTAAGAGCTACCATGGAATGAGCCTTTCTGAAGGGAGGACCAGAGGAATACATAGCCTACCTTTGGAAGTAAGCTGTCTCAGCCTGACATCGGCATCCCAATTCTGGTCATGACAGAACTATAAGGTCATGTCCACGATGTCATGGGCACTGACAAACTCTCAACCCTGGATTCTTCATGCCTCTTCCTTTTCCAGCCTGAGACTCTGTATCTCACCATTTTCTTTAAATAGCAGGGTTCCTCTTTAAGGGCTCATGGCATGAGTGGTCTGAGCAGGTGTTCTGGCTCTTCTCTTGGGAAAGCCCCAGAAGATAAGCTTCAAGGGCTCCAATAAAGCTTGGCAACTCTCCACATAAGCTCAGGGTTGCTGGCTTTTCTGGGAGCACACATACCATCACCAGGAAATAAAATCCCACCACTGACACCCTACCTCCCCTGCTCCACCCCAGATCATCCTATGGGCCAAGGGAAGAAAGGTACAGGAATAGAGATTCCCAGGAAGCCAGACCTAACAACTGGAATGAGGAGGGTGGTATGTGCTGCTGGGCAGAGTAGAAGAGAGTCAGGATCCCACTGCCACACCTGACAGTGGCAGAGAGCACGGCAATGTCATTTTTGCTCAAGGCAGTGCAGGGAGGGCTCTAGTAGGCCCCCAGCCTGAGTCCCTCAGCTCTGTTACGCCTTGCAACACTGGTCTCAGTCCCCAGTGACCTACTCAGGGCCTCTCCTGACCAGAAATCCAGTTATATTGATCTGTTTTGGGGAGACATGTGACTCAGACACTGAGGACTCAAGCAAAGTTCCCACAGCTTGCTGGGCATTATAATCCCTCTATCTCAGAGCAGGCATTTCTTTTTTTTTTTTTAATTGAATTATTGATAGGTTACAATCTTGTGAAATTTCAATTGTACATTAATGTTTGTCAGTCATGTTGTAGGTGCACCACTTCACCCTTTGTGCCCACCCCCCACCCCACCTTTCCCCTGGTATCCACTAAACTGTTCTTAGTCCATAATTTTAAATTCCTCATGTGAGTGGAGTCATACACAGATTATCTTTCTCTCGCTGGCTTATTTCACTTAACATAATTCTCTCAAGGTCCATCCATGTTATTGCAAATGGAATGATTTTGTTCTGTTTTGCAGCTGAGTAGTATTCCATTGTATATATGTACCACATCTTCTTTATCCATTCGTCTGTTGCTGGACACTTAGGTTGCTTCCATGTCTTGGCTATTGTAAACAGTGCTGCAATAAACATTGGGGTGCATAAGACTTTTGGGATTGCCGACTTCAAGCTCTTTGGGTAAATACCCAGTAGTGGTATGGCTGGATCGTATGGTAGTTCTATTTTTAATTTTTTGAGGAATCCCCATACTGTTTTCCATAGTGGCTGCACCAGTTTGCATTCCCAGCAGCAGTGTATGAGGGTTCCTTTTTCTCCGCAACCTCTCCAACATTTGTTGCTATTAGTTTTAGATATTTTTGTCATTCTAATGGGTGTAAGGTGATATCTTAGTGTAGTTTTGATTTGCATTTCCCTGATGATCAGCGATGATGAGCATCTTTTCATGTGCCTATTGGCCATCAGTATATCTTCTTTGGAGAAATGTCTGTTCATGTCTCCAGCCCATTTTTTGATTGGGTTGTTTGATGTTTTGTTGTTGAGTTGCGAGAGTTCTTTGTATATTATGGATATTAAGCCTTTGTCAGATATATGACTTGCAAATATTTTTTCCCAATTAGTGGGTTTTTTTTTGTTTCAATCCTGTTTTCATTTGCCTTGAAGAAGCTCTTTAATCTGATGAAGTCCCATTTGTTTATTCTTTCTATTGTTTCCCTTCTCTGAGAAGGCATGGTGTCCGAAAAGATCCTTTTAATACTGATGTCAAAGAGTGTACTGCCTACGTTTTCTTCCAGAAGCCTTATGGTTTCAGGTCTCACCTTTAGGTCTTTAATCCATTTTGAGTTTATTTTGGTGAATGGTGAAAAAGAATGGTCAATTTTCATTCTTTTACATGTGGCTTTCCAGTTTTCCCAGCACCATTTGTTGAAAAGACTTTCTTTTCTCCATTGTATGCCCTCAGCTCCTTTGTCAAAGATAAGCTGTCCATAGATGTGGTTTTATTTCTGGGCTTTCAATTCTGTTCCATTGATCTGTTCACCTGTTTTTCTACCAGTATCATGCTGTTTTGATTACTGTAGCTTTGTAGTATGTTTTGAAGTCAGGGATTGTGATGCCTCCCGTTTTGTTCTTTTTTCTCAGGATTGCTTTAGAAATTCGGGGTCTTTTGTTGCCCCATATGAATTTTAGGATTCTTTGTTCTAATTCTGTAAAGAATGTCACTGGGATTCTGATTGGGATGGTGTTGAATCTGTAGATTGCTTTAGGTAGAACGGACATTTTAACTATGTTTATTCTTCCAATCCATGTACATGGAATGTCTTTCCATCTCCTTATGTTGTCATCCAATTCTCTCAGAAAGGCCTTGTAATTTTCATTATATAGGTCCTTCACTTCCTTAGTTAAGTTTACCCCAAGGTATTTTATTCTTTTTGTTGCGATTGTGAATGGTATTGTATTCTTGAGTTCTTTTTCTGTTGGTTCATTACTGGAGTATAGAAATGCTACTGATTTATCCAAATTGATTTTATACCCTGCAACTTTGCTGTAGTTGTTGATTACTTCTAACAGTTTTCCAATGGATTCTTTGGGTTTTTCTATATATAAGATCATGTCGTCTGCAAACAGCGAGACTTTCACTTCTTCCCTCCCTATTTGGATTCCTTTTATTCCTTTTTCTTGCCTGATTGCTCTAGCCAGGACCTCCAGTACTATGTTAAATAAGAGTGGTGATAGAGGGCATCCTTGTCTTGTTCCTGTTTTCAGGGGGATGGGGTTCAGTTTTTGCCCATTGAGTATGATGTTGGCTATGGGTTTGTCGTATATGGCCTTTATTATGTTGAGGTAGTTTCCTTCTATGCCCATTTTGTTCAGAGTTTTTATCATAAATGGCTGTTGGATCTTGTCAAATGCCTTCTCTGCATCTATTGAGATGATCATGTGTTTTTTATTGCTCAGTTTGTTGATGTGGTGTATCACGTTGATTGATTTGCGGATGTTGAACCATCCCTGTGTCCCTGGTATGAATCCCACCTGATCCTGATGTATGATTCTTTTGATGAATTGCTGAATTCTGGTTGCCAAAATTTTGTTTAGAATTTTTGCATCTATGTTCATCAGTGATAGTGGCCTGTAGTTCTCTTTTTTCGTGATGTCCTTGTCAGGTTTTGGGATCAGCGTGATGTTGGCCTCATAGAATGTGTTAGGAAGTGTTCCATCTTCCCTAATTTTTTGGAATAGCTTGAAAAGGATAGGTATTAAATCCTCTCTGAAAGTTTGGTAGAATTCCCCAGGAAAGCCATCTGGTCCTGGGGTTTTATTCTTTGGGATGTTTTTGATTGCTGTTTCAATCTCTTTCCTTGTGATTGGTCTGTTCAAATTGTCTGCCTCTTCTTGAGTGAGCTTTGGGAGATTGTAGGAGTCCAAGAATTTATCCATTTCCTCTAGGTTATCCATTCTGTTGGCATATAGTTTTTTGTAGTATTCTCTTATAATCTGTTGTATTTCTGCAGAGTCTGTTGTTATTTCTCCTCGCTCATTTCTGATTTTGTTTATTTGAGCTTTCTCCCTTTTTTTCTTTGTAAGTCTGGCTAGTGGTTTGTCAATTTTATTTATCTTCTCAAAAAAACAGCTCTTTGTCTCATTGATCCTTTCTACTGCCTTTTTCATTTCAATAGTATTTATTTCTGCTCTGATTTTTATTATTTCTCTCCTTCTGCTGACTTTGGGCTTCATTTGTTCTTTTTTCTCTAGTTCAGTTAGGTGTGCTTTAAGGTTGCTTATTTGGGATTTTTCTTGTTTGTTAAGATGTGCCTGTATTGTGATGAATTTTCCTCTTAATACAGCTTTTGCTGTATCCCATATGAGTTGGTATGGCATGCTATCATTTTCATTTGTTTCCAAGTATTTTTTTATTTCTTCTTTAATTTCTTCAGTGATCCATTGCTTGTTCCGTAGTGTGTTGTTTAGTCTCCACATCTTTGTGCCTTTCTCAGCTTTTTTCTTGTAATTAATTTCTAGCCTTATAGCACTATGATCTGAGAAGATGCTTGTTATTATTTCAATTTTTTTAAATTTGTAGAGGCTTGCCTTGTTTCCCAACATATGGTCTATCTTAGAGAATGTTCCATGTGCACTTGAGAAGAATGTGTATTCAGCTCTTTCAGGGTGGAGTGATCTATATATGTCTATTAAGTCCAATTGTTTTAGTTTTTCATTTAACTCCACTATTTCCTTGATTTTCTGTCTGAATGATTTGTCCATTGATGTGAGTGGGGTGTTGAGGTCCCCTACTATTATTGTGTTGTTTTTAACATCTTCCTTTAGGTCTGTTAATAGTTGCTTTATGAATCTTTGTGCTCCTGTGTTGGGTGCATAGATATTTATAAGCGTTATTTCTTCTTGATGAAGTGTCCCTTTGATCATTATATATTGTCCCTCTGTGTCTCTCTTTACCTGTCTTATTTTGAAATCCACTTGGTCTGATATGAGAATTGCAACACCTGCCTTTTTTTCCTTGCTATTTGCTTGAGGTATTGTCCTCCACCCCTTCACCCTGAGTCTGTGTTTGGCCTTGGGGCTGAGGTGTGTTTGCTGGAGGCAACAAATTGTTGGATCTTGTTCTTTAATCCATTTTGCCACTCTGTGTCTTTTTATTGGAGAGTTCAATCCGTTCACATTGAGAGTGATTATTGATGCATGTGGACTTAATGCTGTCAATCTGTCGCTTATTATCTTGTTTTCCTGAGTTTCTTTTCCTGTGTGCTTTATCCTACCCATTTAATACTGCAATTTCTTATGCTGGGTTTCTTAGATTTTTCCTTATTTATGATTTGTGACTCTGTTCTGTACTTTATTTTAGTGTCTACCTTGAAGTTTGTATTTAGAATCTCGTGTATAATATAGTCTATTCTCTGGTGGTCTCTTACCTACTTGACCAATACTGATTTAGACCCTTTGCTCTTCCCCTCCTAAATAATTATTTTCATTTTTTATTCCAACTCGTCTTATTCATTTGTAGTTAGAGTGCTAAGATCGCTCTTGTCTTGGTAGTTTCCTTACCTTTACCCTAATGCTATAATTGAATATTTGCTATCCTGTTCTGGTTCTATCCATCGGTCTCCCTAGTCTGTGGATTGTGTCCCCTTTCTCCCTTTTTTCTTTTTTCAAGTATGAAAGCCTTCTTGAGGATTTCTTGTAATGGAGGGCTTTTAGTTACAAATTCCCTTAACTTTTGTTTGTCTGGAAAAGATTTAATTTCTCCCTCATATCTGAAGGAAATTCTTGCTGGATAGAGTATTCTTGGCTGAAGGTTTTTATCCTTTAAAGCTTTGAATATATCACTTCATTCTCTCCTAGCTTGTAGGGTTTCCGTAGAGAAATCCGCTGACAGTCTGATAGGGGCTCCTTTATAGGTTATTCTCTTTTTTTCCGTTACTTCCCTGAGTATTCTCTCCTTATCATTCCTATTTGCCAACTTTACTACTATGTGCCTTGGGGCAGCTCTTTTTACATTGACAAATCTAGGAGATCTAAAACCCTCCTCTACACACATTTCTCCATTGATCCCTAGATTTGGGAAGTTCTCTTCAATAATTTCGTTAAGCACACTTTCTGCTCCATTTTCCTTTTCCATATTCTCGGGAATTCCTATGATCCTTATGTTCTTACTCCTCATTGAATCCATTATCTCTCGGAGATTTTCCTCATTTTTTAAAATTCTTAGTTCTCTTTCTTCCTCTGTCTGGCGCCATTCAGCCTGTCTGTCCTCGATTATGCTAATTTTCTCCTCCATGTTGTCTACACGGGCATTCAGGGAACCCATATTCTGTTTTATCTGGTCCATTGTGTTTTTCATCTCAAGTAATTCTGTTTGATTCTTCTTTATGATTTCAATCTCTTTTGTGAAGTAACTCCAGAACTCAGCTTGTTTCTCTATCTTTCTCTCTACCTCATTGAGTTCTTTGATTATAGCTGCTCTGAATTCATTATCACTTAGTTTACCTAATTCCAAGTCCTCAGGACTTAATTCTGTGTTTTTATTGTTTTCCTTCTGGTCTGGGGCTTTTATAAATTGCTGGATGGTAGAGGAGCGGTTTTTTCTCATGGTGGTAGAATTCAGTTGCAGTTACAGCCTGTCGCCACTAGATGGGGGTCGAGAGCGGCGTGTTATGAGCTCTCCGCATTGGGGCAAGATGGCTGCGCCCACTGGCTTCGCTGGGGGGGGAGGGGCTGTTACACGCGCCGGTCTGGGTTCAGATCAGTTCTGTTCTCTGGTCTCCCAAGGCCCTTGATTTATGGGGTCCCCTGGATGGAAGCTTTCCCCTCGTCAGCGGGTTTCCACTGAATTAGCGGCAGGAGTCCTGGATGATCCCCTGGTCGCGCGGCCCCTCCTCCACTCCCTCCCGACCCGCGCTGCAGCAATCGCAGACTCTAGGGGAGGGAGCGATGTTCTCTCCTACCGTTCCAGCACCTCCGAAGGTGTAAAGCAAGGTTTATGATCTCCGCCTTCTTGGAATTGTAGGTCTCTAATGAGCTGGCATTATTTTTGTTCTCTGAAATTCAGTTCTTCCAATCTTTTGTTGTATTTTGGAGGGGAGAGAATCCCGGGTCAGCTCACCCCGCCATTTTGCTCAGGCATTTTAGTTAATACAAGATTCTCATTCACAGAGCCAGCTTAGGTGAATATAACGTGCAGAGGAGAAAGGCTGAGTTCTACAGAGGACAAATATCTCCTTTCTTTCATTTTTGGGAGCAGAGATATACTGAAAACTCAGTGATTGGTGAGGGTCCAGCCTTGCTCTCCACCGACCCTCCTTCCTGTGAAAGGGAAAGAGCACCAGCCCTGTGGTCAAGTGGTTAAGTTCGTGCACCTGGCATCGGCAGCCCAGGGTTTTGCCGGTTTGGATCCTGGGTGTGGACATAGTACTGCTCATCAAGCCATACTGAGGCGGCGTGCCACATAGCACAACCACAGGGACTCACAACTAGAATATACAACTATGTGCGGGGGTGCTTTGGGGAGAAGAAGAAGAAGAAAAGAAAAAAAAAAGAAGATTGCTGACAGTTGTTAGCTCAGGGACCAATGTTAAAAGAAAAAAAAAAGGAAAGAAAGTCTGTTCTCTTAGGAAAGCTGGCATAGACAACAATCAGAAAAATAAACAAGTGCTTAAGAAGCAACAGCAAATTCAAGGTTCTCCACTTTGTTCCAGCTGCCTGTCCCTTAACCCAGGCCCTCTACAACCTGATCTCCATTTTCTCTTACAGACTCCCCTTCTCACAATTGCCTCAGTCTCCTGGGTTCTCACTCCAAATCCTGCACCAAGCTCATTGCCTTTTCAGTGCTTTCTGGATGACATGTTCTCACCCAGCCTTGGATTTCCCTTTGCACATGGGTCAGACATTGCTTCAGCTCCAGGATCTTCTCCTTGAATGCAGCTTGGGCTGCAGCCATCAACAGCAGGGCTCCTGGAGCTGGATGAAAGCCTTATGAGGCCCAGAACTTGCTGATAACTGGAGAATCTAAAGAGCTGGGGGGAGATCTCCAACATGCCAACCTCTCTGAGAGGTCAGCTTCTGCCGTGAGCCAACAGAGAGAATGTGAGCCATAAAGAGGAATTCAACTGAAACTGAGGCTGATCTGTGGCCCCAAATTCAGTTCCTACAACTCTGAGGAATCACCTCCAGCTACTCCTCTCTGATAAAAACTTCACTCTGGAAGGAGAAAGATGTCAATGTGAGAGTTCATTTCTACTTCACTTTCTAAGTGTAAGAAAGAAGGTATAAATTTATTCTCTGTTCAAATCAGCTTGGTCTATGAGACAGTGTTACCTAATAGAAATAGCAGACTTTGACCATCAGGTGGATCTGGTCTCCAGTTCCACCTGAGCTCCACACTAACTGGTATTGGGAAAATTGTTCAACTTCTCTAAGCCTCTTTTTCTCATCTGAGAGTAACAGCTACCTTGCAGGAGAGAGAAAAAGATTATTATGCTATTTGTAAAGTCTCTAGCCCAGTGCTTGGCACCCAGAAAGTGCAGTTAATGGTCTGCGGTGGTAGCAAGACAAACTCCATTTCACGGGAACTTCTTCATGGCATACCTCACTACTTGACATGTACATATAGGGTCAATATCTGTCATCTTCTGCAAGAACGTAAGGTTCTTGGGGAGCAGGGAATTTGTTTTGTTCATTGTTGAATCACAGCACCTGAAATAGTCTCTGCTGCTAAATAAATATCTGGTGAATGAATGGGTGAAAACATATAAGGAAAACTGGGGTCATCAGACCTGATTAATTGACTGGGTGTCAAGTACTTAAGCATTATAGACAATACAAATGGAGACTAAGACTGGGTTCTGGGTGACATGTCTCTGACATCTGTCTCCCCTTCATTTCCACTACTATGGCTCTAGGGCAGGATTCCTGAACCTTGGCACTATTGATATTTCGGGCTGGACAGGTCTTTGTTGTGTGTTTGTGTGGGTGGTGTCCTATGCAGCCAAGGATGTTTAGCTACATTCCTGGCCTCCACCCACCACATGTGAGTAGCACCCGCCTTGTGTGACAACAAAATTGACTCCGGACATTGGGAAATGTCTTTGAGCAGCAAAATCGCCCCTGGTTGAGAACCACTGGTCTAGGGACATGTCATTAGCCCAGGCTGGTGCAAGAGACTTCCATCTGTCCACCTGGCCTGCCTACAGAGATCTCAACTTCTGGACTTTCTACAAATCTAATCCAATGGTAACTCCTCTGCTCAAAGCCTTCAAGACTTCTTGTTGCCACTGAAATAAGCCAAGATCTCCAAGCTTGCAAGGCTCTCCCTGCCATTCAGGGCCCAACCTACCCCTCCAGCCTCACTGCCCTCAGTACACAGTCCAGCATGGGCGAACTGGTTCCAGGTCCTGCCTTAGTACCTTTGCCCACTGAACTTTCCCTGTCTAGAACACTCTTTCCCCAAGACCTGACTCATTCCTTCCATAGAAACTGAACACAAGGGGCTGCCGGTCTTCATCTCTCCCAACCACGGGAGGAAGAGGACCTGAGCCTAGGTTGACAAATGTAGAAATACGGAAAATTTTATGCCCTCAAGGAGTGCACCATCAAAGAAGGCAAGAGAACCCACAGCATCACCACCACCTTCTTGAAGCCTCCTAACGCTTTGAACTCCTTGGCGCTGTCTGTAACTCTCTCTTAGGGCGCCTTATCCTGCTCCACCTAACACCAGAATTTGTTTCTGACGGGTTCATCTCCTCCACGAGTTCGAGGCTCTCTGAGGGCAAGGAGGGCGTCAGTATTGTCTTCGTGGCGCCACCGCCCAGCACAAGGGCGCACAACGACGCAACAGAGGCTCGGCGAACGAGCGTTGTATTACGTAAACCGCAGGGCAAGAGGCTCCGAGCCTCTCAAAGGAGTCCTCACGGGAGACGGAACGGACCCGGCACCTCGTCCCCACGCCTCCCCAGACAGAGGGAGGAGGTCCCGGTCCATGGCCACTCCGAGTCTTCACGTCGGGGACTCAGGGGACTAGACGAGAGCGGCAGGGTGGAGGGCAGAGCCGCAGCGCCCCCGCCGGCCCCGCCAGGATAAGCCTTTCCAACACACAAGACTCACGAGCCTCGCCACCTTTCCAACGCCCTACGCCAGAAGCAGCCCCGGGGCACGCCAGGACCTCCACAAGGCCAGACGCATGCACAAGGGCTACGCAAGCGACGCACTGAAGGACCTCCCGGTAAACTGGTTTCGGCCCCTCGCTAATCGACTGCAATCTTCGCCAATGAGAACGCAGGGTCCTCTTTGTGTGATACCCGCGTGCCACTCCCGCTCTTCGACAACCCAAAGCCTGGATGTGGCCGTTGGTTAATCCCGCTTATTGGTTTACTTGTGGTCTCTTTGGAGGCGCTTCCGCTTGTGGTGCTTCGATGTGTCTTTGTGTCAACGGTGCCTGGAGTCACACCGTGTTTTACAGACGTGACAGCGACAATAATGAAAAAACGTAACGCTCCCTGTGTGCTTGGCACAGTTCTAAACAAGTGCATACTAATTCGTCCTCACAGCAGTCCTATGAGGTCAATATTATTACTCTTTTCATCTTCCAGACAAGGAAACCGAGACAGATTGTCTAATGACAGGCGTAGGACAAGAACTCGCTTCTAACCCAACGTTTTTTCCTGTGTTTTTATTTTTTAACATTCCGTCAGTACCGCAAAACATTCTCACCTAAAGATGAAATCTCTCCATCCCGCATCTCCCAAACTACATTCCCTCTCCAGAGGAAACAAATTTTCAGTGTGTACATCTTTCTGAACCTTAATCTGTCCTTTTGGTCATTTACTATATCTTTAAATTTTTTTCTGTTTCAATATATCCACCTCATCTTTTTTAAACTGTTGGATTTAGGCATGTACCATAATATATTCAATCTTTAATCGTTTCTCTTTTGTTGGACATTGAAATACTCAATTGTCACCTGCATGCGAGCGTGTTATCCTGGATTGGGATATTCTGCGTATATTTTGAAGAGGGAGCCTATGGATGGGAATGTGGAATGTGAGGGAAAGTATAGTGGAAGTTTCTACCCGTTCTCTCTGCCTTTGTTCTGGTCTCCCTTCATCCATTCATCATTTATGAGGATTCTAGTTGCACAATGAAGGAGTAGTGCTCCATCAGGATATGAATAGAGGGAGGTGGATGTGAAATAGACTGAGAAACCTCCTTAGAGAAAGTATTCCATCTTTGATTAAGTATTACACTGAGCAGTTGTCTCCAAGCACTCCCATATGCATTATCTATTTTGATCCTTACAATGTTCCTGTCCGGTATTATATTCATTTTACAGATGATGAAATGGAGTGCTAGAGAGATCCACCGGCTTCCATAGCTAATTAGTTGCAGAGTACATCAAATGTTCGATCTGTGGGCTCCTAGTGTCATGAACTTTCTAAGGTATCTCCCTATTCAGAGGGCAGGGTAACTAGATGGCTGCATTGACAGGAGAGAGACATAGCCGGGTCTGATGCAGGGAAGAAGCAAGGGCAGAGCCATACTTCTCAGTAGCCTTAGTCATGTGTCTCTTCAGCCACCTAGAAACTTCTACAGTGCACCCTTAAGGTCCTTGTTCCTGAGGTTGTACATGAGAGTGGAACATGCATGTATCTATGATCAGAACAGGATAAAAATAAGGAATGTGTCCCGATCAAGGAAGTAGCTGTTCCTAGGCTAAATTTAGTCAGAGGTGACTGTCCCAAAGAGAAGTCCACCACCACCCTGTGGAAGCTGCTGGTTGCAAAGCCTCTGCTCCTCTCTGTCCTTGGCTGAGCAGATCCTTGGCCAGCTTTGGCAAGATAGCATAGGTGCCATGGATCAAGCCCTCATAGACAAGTAGGAAGATGACTGTCACCCGAAAGACCTTGAACTTTTTGAAACCTTTATCTCCACAGGTAAGCTTTATCAAGGTGGGTGTCACATGGAGGAACTGGTCAACTTCTGTGCTTCTCACAGAGGTGCAGCTGTAGCGTGGCAGGCAGCTGCCCTAGGGAGTTGTCAAAAATATTCTGCGAGGCCAGGGGTGCCAACTGCAGGCAGAGGCACCACTGCTTGACCACTGCATAGTGGAGGGCTGACAGATGGCAACGTGTGCTCAAGGCTGTCACTGCTAAGAGAATGCTCTCAGTGGAGTTGAGAGCCCGGACAAAAAAAGAAAAGAAAAATCACCTGTAATCCCATCACATATGTGTGTGTGTCTCCAAATTTTCTAGCTATCTGGGATCCCGCTTTCTTTTATTAGCCAAATTATATGTTTCATTCTTCCATGGCCACAGGAAGTTTTTTGTTTTGCTTTTTTCTGCAGCTTTCTCTTTTCACTGGACATTACATTTGTGATATATATCCAAGTTTATGTATATAGCTGTACTTTATTCTCTTTTATTGCTGTATAGTATTTCATCACATGACTACCACAATTCATTCATGTATTCTTCCTGTTAGTGGATGTTTGGATTCTTTCTGGCTTTTGATTGGAAAAAATACTGCTGTGAACGTTTTGTACATATAATCTGCTGTACTTAGACTCTCTTTAGGGCATGCCGTAGAGCAAGAGGTCATAGGTATGCATGTCCTCAACTTTGCTAAATAGTGCCAAAGTGATTGTACTAGTACTCCCCGCCCCCTTCCCACCGCCCCACAGTATAATAGAGTTCCTGTTTTTCCCTATCATTGTTAACACTTGGTATCGTCACACTTTTAAATTTCTGGCAAGCAGAGGGAATAAAAGGATATTTCATTGTGGCTTTAATTGAATTTCCCTGATTTCTAATGAAAGGGGGCGTATTTCATATGATTTCTACTGTATGAAATTTAGACCTCAGGTGTTTCTGAGATTCCCTGAGGAATGTTTTCAGTTTCCTGGTTGTCACTCATCAGCTTGTTCTCTGTAGCATTCTAAGTCTTTTCAGTTTTCACAGTTGGCCTTTTGTTAACTGTTTCTCCATGCTGCTTCCACTCTTTCTTTTCTGCTTCTCCCTATATCCTTCACTTTAGCACAATACTCTTCCTTTATATTTCAAAACAGGGTTCACAAAAGGCACCATTGTTACTTAAGAATAATAGAACTACAACACAGAAAAGTTAAAGTAAATCCAAACATCAGAGCTTATGTTCCTTCTGACTATTGGCCATGAGTTTTACAGGGGTTCTTGCACTGATATCTCTCTTTTTAGCTTTTGTCTGACATCTTGTTTATGGGATCTGAGCATCTCCTTTAATAAGATCCCCCGTTGTAATTTGCTGTCTTCACTTTCCTTTTTGCTATCCCCTACCTCTCCTAACCAAAAGAAGAAAAGGAAAGACATCAATATTATACTGTTATTGGGAGGCATCTTACCTTCTGCCAACACAAAAATCAATTTCAGATATATATGTGTTTTTCTATTATTAAGATAATTTATTTTCTCAGTAAAGTCTAATAGTTTTCTTTAGATAGGTCCTGCATATTTATGAAATTAATTTCCAGGCATTTATTTTATTTTCATTACTTGTAAATAAGGTCTTCATTCTAAGTGTGTATTTCTAGTATGTAGGAAAACTTTTAAAAAATCTATATTGATTGCATCCCTAATGGAATATGACTCTAGGTCAAAAATAACTGTTAAAGAAAACCTGTTGTGTGTGTATTGTGGAATGTCAGAAATACATATCAGTTGCATAGTTATCAACATTTTGTATTGTCAGACTTTTAAATTTCTAGATAAATAGATAGACATATAGAAATATAGAGGGATATGTGTGTTGTGTCTATGCCTGTATCTATATTTATCTCTCTCTGTATTCATCTATCAATCTATCTGTATCCTACCTCTGTCCACAGAGATGACCTGGGAGCAGCTCACCCCAATAGTAATGAGAACAATTAGTGCCCAGAAATTGACTGCTGAACACAATTTTTCACTCAAAGTTACCAGGGTTTCTTGAGGAAATGGCTGGGCAGGGGTAGGGTTAATAAAAGTTAAGCATGGAACATCTGTGGTTCCAGAAAGCAAGGAGGTACCCAAAGAATATGGGGACAAGTCAAAAAAACACAAAAGCCAGGTTGGATGGGCTCCCACTGATCAAACAGGGCACAACAATACAATGGTAGTAACAAGTTATAAACCACTGAATAAAATAGGAAAACTTGATTCCATAAGATGTAAATAAATAATGACTAAATTGAGTTTAATTAGCAACAGGATATTGATGTAGTTTCAGAGCACTTTCCCATAAAATACTTAATTACAAAGTAGAGCATAATGGAAAAGGCTGGCAGACACCACCTTCATTTAATGATCCAAGTAACATCATCAGTAATGGGACAAATTGCAATGTACGCCACTGTCTTAGTCTGCTCAGGCTGCCATAAGAAAATACCACAGACTAGGCTACTTAAATAACAGGAACTTATTTTCTCACAGTTCTGAAAATGGAAAGTCCAAGATCAAAGTTCCACCAGGATTCAGTTTCTGGCGAGGGCTCTTTCCTGGCTTGCATGTGGTCTCTTTGTCCACACCTGGCCTTTCTTCTGCGTGTTTGTGGGAGAGAGAAAAATCTCTCTCTTCCTCTTCTTATAAGGTCACCAATCCTATCAGATTAGGGGCCCACCCTTATTATACCACTTCACCCTAATTACCTCCTAAAGGCCCTGCCTCCAAGTACAATCACATTGGGAGTTAGGGCTTCAACATATGAATTTGGTGTTGGGAGACAATTCAGTCCATAGCACCACCCGATAGGATACAATGAGAAGAATGCAACATCACTTCTGTGGGATTCCTGCCAAAGATGCATAACCTGAATCTAATTGTCAGTAAACATGAAACCCAAATTGAGGGATGTTCTACAAAATAACTGGCTAATAATCTTTAAAAGTGTCAGGGTCATGAAAGTCAAGAAAAGAAACCATTTCAGACTGACAGAAACTAGAGACATGACAACGAAATGCAATGTGTGATTCTGAACAGAATCCTTTTGCTGTGAAAGACATTCTTGGGACAAGTGGCAAAAGCTGAACAGGGTCTGAGAATTAGACAATATAATGTATTAATGTTCCTTTACTAATAATGGCTATATTGTGGTCCCATAGGAGAGTGTCCTGGTGTGTTAGAGGTATATCCTAACATATTTGGGGAAGACAGAGTATCAACTTACTCTCAAATGATTCAAGGGGGAAAAATAGTCCTTTCTATTATGCTTCCAACTTTCCTGTAAGTTTGTGGTTATTTCAAAAAAGAAACAAAATTTTTTTTTGCAAAAGCACAAGCTTTGGAGTCAAGAGTACTTGGATTTGATTCCCAGTCTTACCATTGTGTGTTCTTGAGCAAGTTTCCTCTTGTGATCCGATGTCCTCATCTTAAAATGGGACATTTTAAGTATAGGTTGTTGTGAGGATTTAATGAGTTGATTCATGTAAAGAGTTTAGATCCTTATCTAGCACATGGTAAGTACTCAGTAAAGTTGATATAATCAAATAGTCGATGTAGTAAAAACCTTTTCACCAAATCACTAATGGAGCTTCCAAATTAGTCTGTAATTTAGAGCTCATATACTAGAGCATAAACTCACCAAGCCAAAGTCAGTTTTCAATTCCTATTTCTTGCCAGCTCCTTATTCCAACATCTCCTAGCCACAGCCATGGAATTGAGCCTGAAGGCTGTGAAGACAGAAAAAAGATTGACTCCCTTCATTGGCAGGCTCAAAATTTGGTCATTTAATTCAGGTATTCATGCAGGCTTTGCTACCATAAGGGGTATGGATCTAGATACTCTATGAAAGGCTTTAAGAGATGGGATCTTAAAAGCTCGAATGCCATTTTACTAAAAGTTGGTGAACCTTCTGTAAGTCTTGATGTTTGTTTTGTTTTTCATTTTTTGAATTTCTAACTGAGTAAGACACGAAACATACTTTTTCTTCTGGAACCTTAGAAATTGAACTTCAAAGCCCATTTTAATAACAAGGAGCTTGCCTCACACTTAATTGCTTTTTTGCCGTTTTTGACTTTGTTTCATGCACACCATTGAAAATGGAACATGAATATGTGTGCGTTTTGATGATGTCATATGTGATCCCCATGATGCATTAATGTCCCATGCTTTCTCTCCTCCCTCTAATTCTCTGTGTCTTACTACTCCCCTAACTATAAGTTAGATTCAAAATGTCCCGTACTTTCCATTGGTAGACTCTGCAGAACTCCAAAGTGTTTGAAGAATGCCTTGCTGTTTTCTTCCTATTTTCCCACAAGTTATTTTGCAACTTAAATGCAAAATATGACTGTTCAATCTCCTTGGTAGTTACCATTCTCATAAATTAATCAACTGGCATTCTGGTTTATACATCCACTTTAGGAGCATAGTCATTTTTATTCTACCTCCTCAGAATGTCATCTAATCTGAGTGTGCTGATCAATAAAGAATTTGAGCCTGCAAGAGTCTAGACTGATCAATTCACCAAGATAATGCCACTAGTTGGCTAGTCCTTGAGACGTACTTCAGTATTACTGTGTAAGCAACGGAGGAAATAGGTCATGGCTCTGATCTACAACTGGAAAAACAAATTAAGGATGGGACAATTTAACCAGATGTCTTTGAGGGGCATTATGGAAATGTGGAAAGGTGGAAATTTGTCATTGTTTGTTCAGCATTGTCCAAAGGACAGGATAACCCCAAGTGGCAAACAGGAAAATGGTTCATATGACAAATTTAGTTCCTAGCATGAAAAACAGGGACTCATGAGGCTTTTAAATTAATTCAATTCACTAAGCATTTATTGAGCATCTACTTTGTATAAGGCAGGTGTTTGGGTTCTGTGGGGGACACAAAGCTGAAGACTCTTTAGAAACTAGCCCTAAAACCATTTGATTTCCTTTTCTCTGGTAATGTAGTTGCCAAGCAAGTTTCTGACATTAACCTAGCTCTTCTTTTTGGGGAAAGAGTATATGAATTGTGGTGGTAGGTGCAGATTCCTTTGGCAATTCTAGTAATGCACAGAATCACATATTGGCATTTGAATTCCAATACCTGAGTTCCTCAGTGAGTCTTGGTGTGCTGTACTGATTGACGAATTCCAGGAACTTTAGGACTGAAAGACTAGATCTTGAGGCAGAGGACATGCTTTATGGATGGATGTTCTTTCTTGGGCTCTTAAACTTGCTTAAGGAATCTCAGGGCATTCTATAATCCACCGACCATATGAGAATATCCAAATGCTGGTAGCAAATCTGATGGTTGGGAATTTTTTAGGGAGGATGATTTAAATAAAAGTATATCAAGGCAACCTCTTTGGCTAGAATTGAAAGGAAAATGGTCTTAGCTACCTTTTCTTATTAAATATTAGATGAGACAGAAGGGAAAATGAGATGTAGACATACAGGAGAGGGTAAACAAGATGACAGAGGGACATATGGATGGGAAGTATGGGTAGATAGGCTGAAATATCTAGAAGAGACAAAGAGAGATGGACAATGATGATGGATGGATAGGGTACAAAGATGGATTGTTCAGGTTTTTGTTTGGGGTTAATAATACCTGCCTTGATTTTATGTAATTATAGAAACATTATATAAGATACTGCAAGTGGATTTGCTTTCTTTAGAAAAGTACAGAGTTCTCTAGAAATACAATAATAAATAAAGATGTAATATTTGTTACATATATAATAAATACACATAAATAAAATGTGGACAACAGAGATAGTGAGCAAGGCCTGTACTAAGTTAACAACCTCTGAGCTGTTGATGACACATCTGCCCTGTTATCTGTAGTCCACAGTAGGATTTTTGGTAAATAAGTGTGGAACATGAGAAATAACACTAACTATGTCCCAACAGCTTAGGGTTATCAGAAACATGTCTAGTTTGTACCAGGGTTAGTACTCCTCATGTTCACCTAGCCAGAGAGAGAGAATGAGAAAAAGTGTGTAGAGATGAAGAGGCTATAAATGATGGAGTTTTTTCCTCCTCTCAGCAGACTTCTCTTCCCCAGCAGCCTCCTCAGCGCCCCCTTCACCTCCTTGTTCCTCAGAGTGTAGATGAGAGGGTTCACCATAGGTGTGACCACAGAGTAGAAGAGGGAAATGAACTTGCCCTGGTCCTGGCTGCTGGTCTTAGCTGGAAGCAGATACCCATAGATAGCTGAGCCATAGAAGAAGAGCACCACCATGAGATGAGAGAGACATGTGTTAAATGCCTTTCTCCGCCCCTCGACTGAGCGGATCTTCAGCACTGCCTGAGCTATGTAGCAGTAGGAGATCAGGATGATGCTGAGTGCGACAGCAGTGAAGAAGGTGCAGACACCATTGAGCACAGCCTCATTGAGACTCGTGTCTCCACAAGCCAGTTTGATCATGGCGGGCACCTCACACAGGAAGTTGTCCACCCTCCGGTGCCCACACAACGGGAGTTGCAGAGTGAATGTTGACTGGATCACAGAGTTTCCCAAGCCACCCAACCAGGCAATGGCAGCCAGCAGCCAGCAGAGCCAAGGGTTCATGAAGGTGGTGTAGTGCAGGGGCCGGCAAATTGCCACATAGCGGTCAAACGCCATCACTACCAGCAGGATGCACTCAGTAGCCCCTAGCCAGAGGAAAACATAGAGCTGGATTACACAGCCACCATAGCTGATGGTCTTGTCTGGTCCCCATAAGTTGATCAGCATTTGAGGGACTGAGCTAGTAGTAAAAGTAAGGTCCAGGGAGGAGAGGTTGCTGAGGAAGAAGTACATGGGTGTGTGGAGCCGGGCATCCAGGCAGGAAAGCAGGATGATGGTTGAGTTCCCAAATAGGGTCAGCAAGTAAGAGAAGAGAATGACTATGAAAAAGATAATCTCTAGTTGTGGATGGTCAGATATGCCCAACAGAATGAAGCCCTCCAAGGAGCTGTCATTGGTTCCTTCCATCTCTGATTGCCTTTAGTCACTTGAGGAATCTGCCCAGGGAAAAACACTGGGAAAAAAGCCAGTGAAGAAGAAGCTATTCATAAAGTTGATCTGCATAAAGGAGGGTCTTCTGGGCTTCATATTTAAGTACCAATTTAATTTTCATAATTGCAAACTTTCATTGCAATCCCCAACCACTGTCAGTCCCACAGTGACTGGAAACTTTATTCCATCCGAATTTCAAGCATGAGCTGTCACAAAAATGAAGGAAGAGCCTTATGAAGAACAAAAAGATTAGGGCTCTTCAGTTCAGCATGGCATTTACAATAGGGTAAAGGAAGTTGACCATTAGAATAAAGTCTGGAAATTGTCAAAATACAAATTTCCCCAGCCAAGGTTTTAATATGCTCAAGGAAAGGGGAAGAAGAACCATTGTATTTGGAAAAGCTTCCCAGAAGTTTCTGATAAATTTCCTCCCCTCTCTTCGATATCCCTCACCTCCCAGGCAAAAGCTCCTGATCTAGAAAGATAAAGTTTGAAGGAGAACATGAATCTATTACATCATGAAAAGAATGGAAAGAGTTAATATAGACTTATTCACCAAATACAGAAGATGTGAATATGTGAGTTAAGAGGAGGTAAATGTAGAATAAACAAAAACTCACATAAGCCCAAGTAAGTTTACGTGGAATAGGCTAAAGATATAAACACAGTTTATCCAAAAATGGGTTAAATCAGTTAATGGGTACCCATAATTAGCAAAGGAAACTAGAAGATTTCAGAAGAGATCCCTGATCTTTTGAGGTATATGACCACTATGCCCACCTCTAAACCATTGAGTAATTCTTAACATCTCACAAACAAAAATTAGCTCTTGTTAATAATGGGCCAATTATCATCTCCTTTCATGGGGAAAGACCTAGGCTTTTCTGAAGATCATAAACCAAAGCCTTTCCATCTTATTTGACTGACAAATAAAATGATCTGAGAAGAAAACAGAAATAGTCCTTGGGTCAGCTGTCCTCATCTGGACACTGAAGACTGGGAGTGAATGTTCTGCCTCTTCCTCTGGACCATGACATGTCCCACAGGAACCTCGGCTGCCACACTCAAAGAGTAGGCTTGATGGGAAGTGAGCAGGTGTGCTTAACTGGTTCTGGTGTACCAGGCAAGGAACTTGGCTACACCTCTTGGCTAAAGACCCCAAGAACTGTCCTTTTCATCAATAAATAACAAATACTGGAGATCCTGATGCTAGATTCCACCCAGAAGTCAGGAGGGAAATCTCTTCTAATTGCCTATTTCTTTAGGTCAGCAACGGAGTCCTTCTATTGAGTCAAGGATGATAAGGATTTCAGAGCACTTTTTGACCCTCTTTCATACCTCTACCTAATACCTTAAGAAGAGGTGTCTACTTACTCTCTTCATTAAAGACTTAAGAAAGCTGAGGAACTGAGTTAGCAAACTGATAGCTCATCTTTCTGTTCAAAAGTTCTTCCTGACATCCATCTCACTACCTCCTGTCAGTAGAGGTGCTTGTCCTCTTATATCCCTCTAGGGGAAAGAAACAGACAGACACTTCCCATCTTCTCCCATGAGTTGTTTTGTCTCTGGGCAACTGGTGCTTTGTGGACACTCAGTGATGTCAGAATTTCTTTCAGTTCCCCCTCTTCTTACTGAACAGTTTTTTCAGCTCAGTAATAAACCAGCCAGCATGGAAAAGGAAAGTCTATAACTAGAGCAGGAAGCTGTTGACCCCAGGTGCTCAGAAAGTTCAGGAGAAAATGCCATACCAGCTAGATTCTAGGCCTGAGCTTGACAAACTCCCCCAACCAACATGACTGTAACTTCGAGTCTGAATTCAGCAATTCACCTGCTTTTCAGGGTGTTTTCCTCCCTTAAAGGGTCTCTCCCCTTGGTTCCTAGTTCTCTCATAATCTGGGAATGTTAAATTCATCCAGCAGTATTTGCATTTTAAAAGGAGCATAGAGAGGAAAACATTGAACTCAGAGGATGCGCCATTTATGGTGTGGTTTAGGCAAGGGAGCACCCAGATGGAGGTTGTTTGGGTACAGAAAGATTTTTAGCAATCACTCACATGATGCATAGATGGATTCCATCTCAGCCTACCTGCAAATTTGGTTTGAACATTCAAGATCTTGAGAAAAACAGCCAAGACTTGCTTCTTAAAGAGAATCCTGGGTGTTGTGATTGCCCACTTTCACCCAGTTTTCTGCCCATTCCTCCCCTAAATTTCACCACAATTCTCAATTGGCCACTTGTGGATTAGCCACAGCAAATCTGGAATTTAGAGTTGGCTTCCTCCTATCATGGAAATTGCTCCTGAGCTGTCGGCACTCCTCATATGTGGGGGCACATCCTCGGAATTCAAGCCTTGCTTTAATATTAGCCTGAGCAATAAAGGGAAAGGGAATCATAAAAAATGAAAACCTAATCTTGAATTCCTGATCCTGGTAGAGAAGTTTTTATATATGTTTTGTTTACAAATATTTCATTTATTTGGGAGATGGCTGACAGATATTCCTGAGAGCTAAGTTTGTGCCTGAAAAGCTTGCATGTAAGTTCTAAGTTAATCTTTTCTTGATGATCTGGTCAGAACCGGAGCTAGGGTTTTCAATATAGGATAACATTGTGGCAGTATGGCGGGCAAGAACCACACAACAGAACAAACTTTGTTTAGATGGATGAAGTCTGAGATGGAACACAATCAAAACCTCTCCAATCAGAAAAATTTAAGGTATCGGCGCCGGCAAGGTGGTGTAGTGGTTAAGTTTGTGCACTCAGCTTGGGTGGCCCAGGGTTCACCGGTTTGGTGGATTCTGCTGGGTGTGGACCTACGCACTGCTTATCAAGCCATGCTGTGGTAGGCGTCCCACATATAAAATAGAGGAAGACAGGCACGGATGTTAGCTCAGAGCCAGTCTTCCTCAGCAAAAAGAGGGGGACTGGCAGCGGTTGTTAGTTCAGGGCTAATCTTCCTTAAAAAAAAGAAAAGAAAAATTTAAGGTATTTTATCAAGTGAACAGGAATTTACCTCCATATCTTAGAAGTCAAGAATTTGAAATGGAGGAGTTTCAATCTTAAAGGAGGTAAATATAGGACCAATAAGAGAAAAAATGACGTAGTTCATAGTAAACTTACGGAAATTATTACTCCTAAGAGGCATCACAGGTTAAAAATATTGAAATTTAAGAAACATAGTTGTAAAGGGAAATTAAGGGAATCTATGCTGTCTGGAGGGGACTGTGATGTTTGCTGTTTGCATCAGGGAAGACAGCCAAGCTCCCTTAAAATTGCTTTCTGATACAACTGTTGGAAAAAGAATCCTGGCTGCATTCTTGACAATGAGCCTGGTTCAGGGGGCAGTTCTAATGAGCATAGGATCTTATAAAATAGAAAAAGGGCTAAGTGGGAGGACATCAAATACATATAAAAATTCAACACCACAGGGCTGGGCCCCATGACTGAGTGGTTAAGTTCGTGCACTCCACTTTGGCGGCCCAGGGTTTCACTGGTTTGGATCCTGGCCACGGACATGGCACCACTCATCAGGCCATGCTGAGGCAGCATCCCACTTGCCACAACTAGAAGGACCCACAGCTAAAAATATATATATATACAACTATGTATCGGGGGCTTTGGGGAGAAAAAGGAAAAAATAAAATCTTTATAAAAAAAAATTCAACACCACAAACTCAGAATGGAAAGGCAGGATAAGCATGGGCATTCTAGGAATAGCTCTCCAGGTTACATCTGTCTGCAAGCTGAAGGCAGTTTGCAGTGGGTGTCTCCAAAGGACAAAGTGGACAGATGCATGTTCAACGTGAGAGTCAGGAGGTAAGCTTTCTGCCCTGTACTGCCAAGGCCATTCCTTATTGGAGAGTCTTAACTGATTTGCCTGGCATTTTAAAAAGGACATGGAGTGTGTGCAGATTTTTAGAGAAAAGGGAGCAAGGAAAAAAATAGGTCCTCTGGAGAATGACCAAGACATTAGCTTGTTTAGGAAGTAGTTAAAGGGAGATTTCTTTTTTCTTCCTTCATGTCTTCACTAGCATGATAGTATTTTAAAGATGTGTGCTTGCAGATCACATGCTCTCCTTATCTATGAAAAGCAAAAATAGGCTTAAACTGAGAGCAAGAGAAATTGTGATTGACATTTTGAGATTTTGGCATGATGAAATATTGTAAACTCTAGGCAAGAGAAAAAGAAGATGTGCTTAGAAATTTGCCTGCCCAGGGCACTAGGCTATACCTGGGTCTTCGATGACTCCTTTCTGCTGGAGGATTCTGTTCCTAGGACACAGTTTGGTGCACAAAGAGGTTTTTTTGGTCAGGTTATGAATTTTTCAGGTTGTCTCCTGGACCATTCTGGAGGTGACTTTTGTTAAAGAGTTCTTAGTTTGTAGTTTTAAAACTCCTCTTTGCAGTTTAAGTATTTTTCCTCCCCAAGGAAGAGCTAAGAAGACATCTCTTAGCTGATGGGCTCAGGGATCTAACACCATGTCATCTCTAACCTTTCTCCTGCAGGAAGAATCTAAAATCAGCACCTTTAAAAGGCTATTTCACACTCTTCCTTTTCTCTCTCTTTTCCATGTAACTGCTCCTCCCTTTTCCCAGCTTTTTCCTCTCTTTGCCTCTCTTTCCTATACCCTGGATTCTCCATTAATAAAAGTCTGTGGATTGTTTATGGAAATATACCTTTGGCTTCAGCATTCCGCCTGAATCCATCACACTGCCACTGGTTTCTGGTGGATCAAGTAGGAGAGCAAGTGTGGAATTAGGAAGGAGGCTGTGCTGTGTGGCTGCTCCCCTGCTGACGAGCTGGCAGCACAGGCTTTTAACCTTGGGCTGGCCCAAGCACTCAGAGGAGCGCTGGATCTGCCGCCTGGAAGCCTGGCTCACTCTGGTTCATTCTGCAGAGCCCAAAGGGGCATCTCTGTCCCCCACAGCCAATTAGCACAAACCACTGGCATGGCCAGAACACAGGAAAAAGGTTGTCCCTGGAGAACTGACTCAGTCTTTCACCTGAACTCCCTCCCCAATACAGATTGCTAATTGAAATAGTAATAAGAATAACTGCATTTCTTAAATAATTACTAATTATATAATTTTATCCTTTTCAAGGTGCTTTCATATGATCGAACTTAGTTCTTAAAATGCTTTCTATGGCAGATGGAGTAGGTAGTTTTATCCCTACTTGGTAGATGAGTAAACTGAGCAAAAAGGGATTATATGACTTGCTTAGTGTTAAACAGTGGTGATTCCAGCGTTTGTTTCCTCACTAGGCATAAACAGGCCATTTTGGGGCCGGCCCCTTGGCCAAGTGGTTAAGTTTGTGCACTCTGTTTCAGTGGCCCAGGGTCTCGCTGGTTTGGATCCTGGTCATGGACATGGCACCGCTCATCAAGCCATGCTGAGGCGGCATCCCACATAGCACAGCCACAGGGACATACAACCAGAATCTACAACTTTGTACTGGGGTGCTTTGGGGAATAGAAGAAGAAGCAGGAAAAAAAAAAAAAAAGATTGGCAACAGATGTTAGCTCAGGTGCCAATCTTTAAAAAAAAAAAAAGCCATTCTGTGCAGAGGAAGTTAGTATTTTTGACTAATCATCTGGGAGATGTTGTCTTTGAGTGTTTTTGGCAGGGAAGGGGGAGAAGGGAATTCCCACTATCTCTGGCCCTAACATAAAACATGAATAAGGGACATGAACCTTAGACACTCACACCACACTGTGTGAAGAGGAATCACTTACAAATGATACTAAATAAAGACATAAAAGGCGACTGGCAACCTGATTAGGTCATTAGATGTCATGGAAGATAAATTACCCCCAAAACTGCTGACTTAGAAACCACGTCATTGAAGGAATGGTCACTGAGAGTGGACAGTGTGCCAGGTGCTGGTGGAGTACAGGGGTGAGCAAGATGGGCCTGGACCAGTGGGGCTCCCTGCCCCGTGGGTCTGTCTCCAGCAAGTCTTCCAAAATTATAAGCACTGCTTGCTGGCATGTGCTGTGTGCCAGACGCTGTCCTCAGTAGTTTACATTATCATGACGACCACACCAGGCAGATACTACTTCTGTTTTACAAGAGAGAAACTAAGGCTCAGAGGTATTAGATAACTTGTCCGAGGCAAATAACTAGTAAATGGCAGAGTTACTTAAACTAGGTCTATTTGACTACAAAATCCACACTTATATCATATACAATGATGAACTCCAGAAGGATTAAAAACTTAAATGTGAAAGATAAAACTACCTGAAGAAAATGAAATGGTATATATTTGTATATTAGGGATTGGGAAGAACTTCTTAAAACCTTAAAAGCACAAGTCAACTTTAAGGTATAAATTGTATTCATTGGATTATATCAACATTGTTAATATAGCAATACTTCCCAAAATGATCTACAGATTCAGTGCAATCCCTATCAAAATTCCAATGGGCTTTTTTTTGCAGAAATGGAAAAGCCAATCTTCAAATTCAAATGAGATTGCAAGGGACCCTAATTAGCCAAAACAGCCTTGAAAAAGAACAAAATTGGAAGATTCACACTTCCCAATTTCAAAACATACTACAAATTTATAGTAACCAAAATGATGTGGTATTGACATAAGAACAGACATATAGACCACTAGAATAGAAGTGATACTCCAGAAATAAACCCATACTTCTATGGCCAACTGATTTTTTTTTTTGGGGGGGTGAGGAAGATTTGCCCTGAGTAAATCTGTTGCCAATCTTCCTCTTTTTTTTCCCCCCCAAAGCCCCAGTACATAGTTGTATATCCCAGTTGTAGGTCATTCTAGTTCCTCCATGTGGGATGCCACCACAGCATGGCTTGATGAGTGGTGTACAGATCTGTGCCCAGGATCCAAACTGGTGAACCCATGGCTGCAAATGCAGAGCACACGAACCCACACTCGGACATGGGGCCAGCCCCTCCAAGTGATTTTCAATGAGGGTTACAAGACCATTCAATGAGGGAAAGAACAGTCTCTTTAACAAATGCTGCTGGGATAATTGGAAGTTACATGCAAAAGAATCAAGTTGGACCCCTACCTCACACCATACACAAAATAATGAAAATGGATCCATGACCTAAATATGAGATAAAATATAAAACTTTTAGAAGAAAATATATGGGTAAATATTCATGACCTTGGATTTGGCAACAAATTTTTAGGCATGACATCAAAAGCAAAAGCAACAAAAGAAAAAATAGATAAACTGGACTTCATCAAAATTTAAAAATTTTGTGTATCAAAGGACATCATCAAGAAAGTGAAAAACAAACATACAGAAGGGGAAAAAATACTTGCAAATTATATATGGGATAAGGGTTTAATATCCAGCATATATAAAGAACTCCTACAACTCCAAAACCAAAAGACAAGCAACCCGATTTTAAAATGGCCAAAGGAGTTGAATAGACATTTCTCCAAAGAAGAGAAATAGCCAAGAAGCACATGAAAAAGTGCTCAACATCCTTAGTCATTGTAGAAACACAAATCAAAACCACATTAGAATACCACTTCACACTCATTTTGATGGCTATAATAACAATACAAAATAGGAAAATAGCAAGTGTTGGAGAGGATATAGAGAAATTGGAACCTCTGTACATGGCTGGTGGGAACATAAAACAGCTCAGTCACTAGAGAAAAGTTTGAATGCTCCTCAAAAATTAGACACAGAATTACCATATGACCCTGCAGTTCCCCTCCTAGGTATACACTCAAAAGAAGAAAACAGGTACTCAAACAAATACGTGTACATGCATGTTTATAGTAGCATTATTCACAATAGCCAAAAAGTAGAAACATCTCAAATGTCCATCAAAAGA